TTTGTAAGTTTTGTAAGTTTCACATACCCCTGTGAACATAAAAAAGTGCGAAATCTGCTCTTAAAATGATTAAAGTGGCAACTTTGAAAAACGTGTTTTGATTTATATGAAGGAGAAAGCAGTCAATTTGTTGCTGCGTGCAGTTTTTACCCATTAGTAGCCAAATTAGGAAATAAAATTCAAAATGTAAAAAAATGTACATTTTGGAAATGATGATAATTTATGATGATAAATTGGACAAAAAAAAACAACAAAAAGTGAATTTTTTGATAAAATTGCTGCGATAGTTAGGATTCCAGCCGATTCCCGCCGTGATTTTAATTTCAACGTTTCCACCCAAGCCTAAGCTTTACGTTGATGCCAAGTTTTTTTGCTAGAATTTGCTATACTGCATGTAAGAGGCGTTTTAAAGGCCTCACGTTTTTAATGAACTGTACATGGTACTGTACACGTACATGTATAATTATACTATCGATATAAAAACGTGTGAAAGTAAAACGTCACCATTTTGTAATTTGAGAGATATTTATTCAGTTTTTTAAACTTGTTTGTGGAAGAAAACATCCTAAAGAATATTTTTCAACCCGTATTTACATTTCTTTCTGTAATTTTTATGGTGTCATAATTATACGCCTGTGAACAGAAAAACGTACGAATGATGCTCAGTATGATAACATTTGGCAACTTTTAAAAACGCGTTATGACTTTATGAAAAGGAAAGCAGTCAACTTGTTACTACATGCAGTTGTTACCCATTAGTAGCCAAATTAGAAAATGAAATTCAAATGGTAAAAAGAATAAACATTTTGGAATTGATGATCTGTAAATTTGACCCCCAAAAAACACAAAAAAGTGAAATTTTGTATTCAATTAGTTTTCACCCAAGCCTAAAATTTGCTAAACCGCGTGTAAGAGGCGTTTTAAAGGCCCATCTTCGCCGTTTTTTAATGAACTGTACGTACATATAGCCTACTTTTAATATAAAAACGTGTAAAAGTAAAAAGTCACTTTTTTTTGTAATTGGAGCGATATTCATTCAGTTTTTAAAACTTGTTTAAGGAAGAAAACATCCTAAGAATATTTTTTCACCCGTATTTTATTTTTTGTAAGTTTTAAGGTGTCATATACTCCTGTGAGCCGGAAAACTACGAATGCTGCTCTTAAAAATAATGATCAAATTTGGCAACTTTGAGAAACGCGTTATGACTTTATGAAAGAGAAAGCAGTCAACTTTTTAGTGCGTGCAGCTCTTACCTATTGGTAAGAAACCAAATCTTGGTAGTAACCAAATTAGACAATAAAATTCAAAATGTTATAAAATAAACATTTTAGAAATTATGATCAGTACATCAATTTTAACCAAAAAAACCATCAAAAATGCATTTTGCGATAAAATTAGCACGATAGTTCGGATTCCTAGGAATTCTTGCCAAGATTTTAATTTCAACCTTTTTACCCAAGCCCAGGCTTTTTGTTGGTGTCAATTATATTTACTAGAACTTGCTAAGCTGCTTGTAAATGCCCCATGTTTGTCGTTTTCAATAAACTGTATACCTGGTACTGTATATACCCTTAACTTAAACACGTGTAAAAGTTAAAAACAAAAAAGTTACTTGTAATTGGAGCAATATTTATTCATGCTGAGGAGAAAAATCACAAATAACTTTGAGAGGTTATGTCATAATAAATCAATGGAAAGACTTACCCAATTTTGGTTAATTATTATAGATGTAAACATGTCTAGTCAACAATAAATTGTATGAGTTCATATCCCTCTAAAAAGAAGCATTATTAGAATTAAAATATAATTTCAACCCGCCAATCAAAGTGCAGCTTTTCAAATACGTTTCCCCAAACCAATGAAGGTTTCAACTATCAGTTAAACATCTAATCTACCCGGCTATTTTGATTGGATAATTGATTCAACCAGTTGATTCAATAGTCAATGTAGTATGAATCTGCCTTGTTATTGCAATTAACATTTGCCTTAGCAAATCGGAAAAACACTATTTTGATGACGTCATACAGATTTTAAAATGCTTTTATTGCTCTTTGTGTGTCTGTAAACACAATAAAGGTTTCAAAAGCACTCTAATATGAATATTCCTATGTTTTGAAAGGAAAAAATGGCTCAACCAATTAAGACACAGTATTTTGATGACGTCATATCAATTAAGAAAGCTTCCATTGGATTTCTTATGTCTAGAAATCCCCTAAACGTTTCAGGAATCAATGTAATATGAATCTGTCTTAGTATTACAAAGATAATTTGCCTGGTCCAATCAGAAAACAGTATTTTGATGACGTCATACAGATTTGAAAATACTGCCATTGAATTCTACGGGTCTGCAAATCCCTTAAGTACTTCTAATTTTATTTTCATCTAGCTTTTTTAATGAGTATGTAATTTTGGCACACTTCGACTGCATTCTGGCCCACTGTGCGCTGGTGCAAACGTCCGCCCGCTCGCCAGTGGTCCACCGTCGGCAGCCTACGGAGGGCCGCTGGAGGGTCGCCGTCGGCCCTCCGTCGGCTGCGACGGCGGACCGCCAGCGAGCGAGCGGACATTTGCACCAGCGGTCCGCCGGTGGCTGTCACCGGCGGACCGCGGCGGTGCCACCGGCGGGCCGCCGGCGGACCGGCCGCGGCTTGCGGACTGGGATTCAGCATAATCCCTTTGAAGGCCCGTCCTTTTAAAAAAGTTGATTTTAGAAATCATATTGATTGCCTAACCTAGGTTGTTAATAAAAATATTGTGTACTACAGTTGGTGACAGTTCTCGAAACAAGTATTCTGTGTCATTTTCTTTGTTGTTCCAAACAGTCAAAACACACAATGAATTGCTTTTTTGGACGAAACGGGTTTTAGGGTCATTGTGTTAAATTGGTGATACTCTTTGAACGGATTGAGCAGTTTCACTAATTTTTTAATATAAAAGTAGCTTATGAAATTGGCTTTCCAGTCATTATTATTTTTGGTGCTAAATATTTTTTTTTAAATATAAAATATGTTTTATGGGGTTTGGGTTCCACTTTTTTTTGACTAACACTGTACATTCCAAAAGCCCATGCCCAAAATATAAAAGATAAAAGATGTGGAAAATAGCTCATGAAATTGTCCTCAGCGTCTTTGGAGTATTATGTCGCCAATTTCATAACCAGATACGTTACCGCTTTTCCTGAAGGATTTAGAACCTGTGAAGATAATGACGAAAATCTATGTTTCCGTTGTTAACCAATCCAGCCGGCCGTAGAGTTTCATTGTTCATGTGCGATACACATTACGATGATTTCAAATGAACATTTCCAGGCCCGTTAACGAAAACAATCCATACGTTGCTTACGTAACATTTTACTCGCTTATGGGAAAAGCGACGAGAACTGACCTGGACGGACATACCGGTTTAGAGTGTCATGGTTGATGAGTAAACTGAAGTCCGGATAAGTCACACAGATTAGCACGATTCCAATAAAAGCTCAACAAATACGTTACACCATAGAAACGTGACTAATTTTGCGGGGGAAAAAAACAGGAATAAGTCATTGTTTCTCGCGTTTTGTTTGTACACGAGAACGAAAATTGCATCAACGTGCACGCTCGCTATCTCATAGCAGTTTTCCATTCCAATTCACCAAATCAAATAAGTCAATTTAGCACGCTTCTTTTTCAACCGGGAAGATTCAGGTAGGCCTATGTCATACCCTGGCCTGGCTGTTGCGATTTGGAATTAAAACAAAAGAAATTAATAACTGGCTGTTGTATAATCATGTGTAAGCCAATTGTTTCCTTCATTTTGAGAAATAGACCCCTTGCATGATTTTTTTTAAGGTATGCCATAGGCTGGCCTCTATAGCTATGCGATTTGGAATTAAAACTAAAAATAACAACAGAATACTTTTGGTTGTTGTATAATCATGTGTAAGCCCAATTGTGTGTAAGCCCTATCTGCATGGGCGTCGCCAGGATGGGGCAAGGGGGGCGCCTGCCCCCCCCCCCCCCCGAAAAACAAAAAAACAAAAACAAAACAAACATGAAAGAAAGAAAAGAACAAGAAAAAAGAGGTGTGAAGTCATATTTGCAAAATGGGCGTCTGCAGGGGTGTCAATGGGTGTGGGGTGGGTAAATGTCCCCCGCCCACCCTTGAAAAAATGATAAATTGAGAATAATGCTAGAGAAAATACAACGATGTTGTTGTTTTTTTTGGGGGGGGGTGTGCTTTGCTCCCCACAGAAAAAACTCCTGGCGACGCCAGTGCCTATCTGTAAATGATCAGTGGTGGACAACGGCGAATCGGGGAGGGGGGGGCAGGCAACGGGGGCCATGCCCCCCCCCCCCCCCCAAAAGAGAAGAACCCAATTTATTGGGGTTTTTAAGTGACGTCGCAAAAAAAGACAGCCACTGCGCACACCACCATCTGTTGCTAAAACAAATTGGTTAAAGTGGTCAGAAATTTTCCGGGGCCCAATAAGCGGGTCCAGAACCCCACGCCGTCAAGTTTTAATTCATTATTTGGGGGAAGAAAAAATTCCCCCCCCAAAAAAAAAAAAATTGTGTTCTGGATCCGCCCTTGGTGGTACACAGCTGAACTGTGGGGTATTTTCATTTAAATAGAAATAACTTGTGAACAGAGTATTTGAGTTATCTCTGCACTTTTGGTATAACCTATAGAAGTAAAGATCAAGTGGCGTGGTGCCCGGGAATCATAATGTTCCCTAAATCTAAATCTGATGATGTCGTGATGACGTCATCATTTTCCCCCGTATATTCGGACAAGGGTTCATCATACCAGGTTTTATCTTCTTCCCTTATACCGATTCAAAGAAATGTCTTGATTTATAGGCTTCCGTTGATATTTGTTATTCACCTAACATTGACTTTCCTGCACCCCTGAAGTACACGACAATACGCAACATTATAAAATGACAAACGGTTACGCAGTTACATCAATCATGTGATGTAAGCATATCTCGGCGCTTACTTTGAATTAACCATTGACTTACCTGTACTGTTAGCTGTGGTGCACGGTTTCTCCGTAACAGCTGGGGTAGGTTGTCTCCTTCCCGGGCAATTCTTCCGGATCTCTTGCATGACTTGCTTCATCCAGTGATCCGGGTTATCAGGATCAGGTTCCGGTGGGGGACCGGAGTAACACACCCTCTGCTGGCTCTCCACACCAAACAGGAGCACTTTGGAATAAAAACAAACAATAATTGCACTTTGAATGTGGATAAAATATAACATTTTTTCGTCCTTTGCGAAGAATCGACGCCAAATCTGTTGGAAACAAAAAAGGCGTTTTCAGAAAAAGTCGAGGTCTATTTTTTTCCCACAGCTAAATGAACTGATATTTTAACCCATGATGTCGTATACTATAGGTTTTCCCGGTCAATTCCCCCTAAAATATAGGTTTCCCCGGCTATTTTAACACTTGTATCACACGAATTTCCTATATCGATACTTAAATTTCGTCCCCGAACATGGCCAAGCTCAATTCTCAATTTGAATTTGAAAAAGCCATCACTATATTTCATTTAAGGTTCAGTATAATTCAAATTGTTAGCATCCCGATTCGTCCAAAATCCTTGAAATTCGTCTCGTGAAGCAATCGGCGTTGAATTGACAAAGCAAATTCGTTTTTTGTCATTCGTTTTCATGTTCTTGTCATTACATTTCGTCCCTGTTGACTTAAATCGTATATGATTAGAAAATGCGCCAAATCTTTAGACTTATTTGAAGAATTATGCGTATTAAAACAATGATAATTCAACATATATTTTCTTATATTAATTAACAAAAGTAGTTAGCTGTAAGTTATGAATTTTTATTTCTGTGTTTCACAATTAACATTAGAGTCAGAAATTGACATTTCACAATATGCACTTATGACATTGACACTAAGCATTACTGTAATTTAAAGACCTTCTTAATGTTGTTCTTTGATAGACATACCTTATTTCTGTTGTTTTATTCATGATCATATATCAAAGAGCATCATTACAAAGGTGTTTGATCTTAATGCTTAATTTCAATATGCTATATATAAAGCAAAGAGCATATTGTGAAAGTTCAATTTCTAATTTCAATGTTAATTGTCAAAGAAAACTCAAAACTGACAGCTATACTTTCATTTATAAGGAAATAAATTTGTTAAAAATTAAAATTTAATTAATGCGCAAACAAGCCCAAAGATTGGGCACATTTTTAATCGTAACGTTTTAAGTCACCAGAGACGAAATGTAACGACAAGAACATTAAAACGAATGACAAAAAAAGAATTTGCTTTTTTCAATTCAACGCCGATTGCTTCACAAGACGAATTTCAAAGATTTTGGACGAATCAGAATGCTAACAATTTGAATTACATTGAACCTTAAATGAAATCTAGTGGTGGCTTTTTGAAATTCAAATTGATAATTGAGCTTGGCGATGTTTGGGGACGAAATTAAAGTATCGATATAGGGAATTCGTGTGATACAAGTGTTAAAATAACCGGGAAAACCTATAATAAACATAGGAAACAGTAAATTTTGGTGATCTTTTCCATTTTTTTATTGTGTTCACATATGTTCTTAATTTTTTACCCTTAGCTGTTTTATCTTCTGTTTTTAAATTGCGATCTGTTTTTTAACATATCTAACATTGTTTCTCAATTCGCTGTCTAAATTATCTCAAACATGTTTCATTTCAGTAACATCTGATTTCTCTTTTTGCTGTGCAAAAGAAAGAAATAAGAAGTGATCAATATGGCTATTTTGTGGCTGCTGTTTTGTGACAGAATGTTGTTAAAAAAAGTTCTCATGTACATCGATTCTGGAACAAAGACACTCCATTGAATTCTGACAAACAAACTAATAACATGAACATGAACCGGTTTAGAATTCTTTTGCTTACATTTCACAAATGCTTGGTTAATGACCAATTCGAATGACCAAACTAATGCAACTGGAAGCTCCGGCGAATTTGAATGACTCAATGTGACATTTGAATTTAAATGCGTAATTTTTAAAATTGCATCATTGAAAAGTGCGATCGCATGCTTTAACTGCTTTAACATATTCAACGATCTAGTTAGTTACTGGGATGTTGATCTGAAGGTGCACTCAAATCAAAGCGAAAATGGGTGATTCGTCATCAATTTGGCTGCCAAATCTATTAAACTGACCAGAAAAACCTCTAATAAAACTGTCTCTGTTTCTTGTGACCTGCGGTTTTGTAGGAATTTGAAGAAGAAACAAATTTCCCAACTGCATGATCTCTATAGTCTTTTTTCTCACGAGAATTTTTACATGACAAAAGGACAGATCGTGAGTTACTTTATAACAAAAATCAGCAGATATTGTGACAAGGAAGAAACCGAACAGATTGAGAAAATAACAGGAATATATATATAATTTCCCATCTGCAGGGTGAGTAAAAGTATTGATTGTTTCCCTTAAGAAGTATATATTAAATGAAGAATTACTGAAATTGATCCATGCTATCAGATATTATGCATGTTTTATTAATATAACACATTTTCACAGGTGCCCACAAAATGCGATTTGGAAGCAATTCAGCTGAGTGAGAACCAGACACTACACACAGGCATTCAAATACACATGAAATTTTAATAATTTGAGTCAATAACATTATTTTTACCGTCCAATTTTGTTTTTGTAGGCCAATATGCGGAAAAAAATTAGTCTTTTTTTCTGAAATGGTAATGGTGATTTTTGCCTGTTTTCCTTTGCAAGTTTTCGTTCATTCATGGAGGTATGATATAGTTCATTGTATTTAAAGAGTATTCATCAATGCGTATAGCACGGTAAAAATGATCAGCTGAATGTTGTGATATTTGTATTAAAATTAAAATAACTTGTCAATACAGTGTGCAAGTTACAACTCAACAACATGTCCTTTATTCCTATCTACTCTTTATTAAATGGAGCAAGCCACATATTTTAGATTCTTTTTCTAACTTGGTCACTTTTTATTTGACTCAATATGTATACATGTACATATCCCATCATTAAACGAGCTTCGAAAACTAGCTTCTATGATACTCTAGCGGCTTTCCTCAGATTTGTACAATGATTTTAATCCCCCATACAATATCATGTATAGTTGGGATTCAAAGAATATGGAGCTCAAGCTTACCTGCCATTGCTGACAGCATCAGAACCACAGCTAACGCTCCGTCCATCCTCCCGGCCAGATGCAGTGAATTCTGAGCAAAATCAGTTGGGTTGGTGGTACTTATCAGCGACTCGCACATGTCATTTCTCTACGGATCAAATCAAATGTAGCATTAGCAGCTACACACGTAAACCACTAAACAGCATGACGTCATCAACAGCCAATCAGGAAAGAGCCTGGACCTGGAACCAGCAATGATCGAGACCATCTGAGCCTGAACGTAAATGAAATTAGAAAAAAAATGAAATTCATTTTTACCCCTCTCCAAGTGATTTTTTCAACAATTTTTCTTGAGGAATACCAAGATAAAATTCCAACATTAATGCTTTTCGGAGTGGTTGCGGTTAGAAATCATTCTGTCAACAATTATAGCAAGAAAAAGGGCGACCCAGAGTAAAATGCCCATATAGGCGGGCCGTGCGAGGGTCTTGGAAGCTCCGTCGCCGTGCCGCGTACCGAGATACTGCAGGCACGTGATGCACCAGACCGCACATGTACATGTATGTATGTACAGGCTGAGTCAAAAAGCGGAACCCAAACCCCAAAAATATATTTCATATTTAAAAAAACAAAACATGTAGAACCAAATATAATAATGACTGGAAAGGCAGTTTCACAAGCTACTTTTAGATGAACAAATTACTGAAATTGCTAAATCCGTTCAAAGAATATCACCATTTTAATACAATGACCCTCAACCTGTCTCGTCCAAAAATGCGATTTCAAGAATCGTCGTCACAATTGTCCTCAAACATCACCAGCGATAAAACCTCAGTTTTAACGTTAAAAATATTCAACAAAGTCCTTTTGAAGGCCCGTCTTTAAAAAGAAAGTGGATTTTATAAATCATTTTGTTTGCCTAACCAGGGGGTTAATAACGATATTGTGTACTACAGTTGTTGACAGTTATTAAAACAAGTATTCTGTGTCATTTTCTTTGTTGTTCCAAACAGTCAAAACACACAACAATTTTTTATTTTTTTTTACGAGACAGGTTTTAGGGTCTTTGCGTTTAAATGGTGATACTTTTTAAACGGATTAAGCAATTTCAGTATTTTTTTTCATCTAAAAGTAGCTTTTGAAATTGGCTTTCCACTCATTATTACTTTTGGTGCTACATATTTTTTGAAATATGAAATTATTTTGGGGGGTTTGGGTTCCGCTTTTTTTTTGATTCGCCCTGTTATGTATCGGACAGCACGGCCCGAGCGGTGAAACATACGCTGCAGTAGAAAGTTGCCCATTACTCGCAAGTAAACTCACAGGAAGACTGACAAAACTGCGGTAATTTGATTAATCTAACAATAGCGGGTTAATTTTCAATGTAAACTAGCCCATATATTTACTAAACAGATGAACACGCGTTTTAAAGATATAGTCCATCATTTGTAATTTGTGCATTTTGTTCGTTTGAAGCAACAAAAGTGTTCAAAATGTAATGAAGGATACTGAACAACTAACCTGATGAAGTTTCAGCTCAGCTTCAGCTGTATATTCCGAGAAAAACAGCATTTAAGTTGCTGATGTTTTGAATTGCAGCTAAACGCAATGTCGCGCACTGATCCGACGAATTATAGCAAGCAAGCGCGCCTGTGCGTCGTGCCAATGCTTGCGCGCGCTGCGCCGAATATTAAACAAAACGAACTACTAAATTAAATTTTCCTACGGTGCGTCTTAAGACGCACCGTTGGAAAGGCCTTCTTTTGTTGATTACTTCAAAATGATAGCTTGCCAGAAAGATTAATTTCACAGGGAGTTTACTCCACTTACTATCTTTCAACCGAGTATGTTTTTCAACAAAAATACGCCAGTTACTTTTTCGGATGGCTGCAAATGCCGGACTACAGCTTTAATAACGTTTTCAAAGGAACATGCGCGACTGGACACTGTACGGCATGAGCGCCATGAGCGCCCGGTGGCGGCCGGATACCGCGCTTCAAGTTAAGACGTCTTCTTCATTCATGGGAAACGTGTGCGGCGAAGAAAACGTTGCTATAGTTATTTCACCATTTCTGTGGTTATTTCACCAAACCAACGGGCAGCACATTTTCCCAATGCATTACTAAACCACGCCCGCGAATCGGGAGATCTTGGTATCATTTTCTTCTAATGAGATTCTCCATCCATTGGTATCCAGGTGGTTTGAGTCTCAAGGTGGTGTAAGGGTTTTTTTCTGGGGGGGGGGCACCCTGTATATACATCTTAACATTTAAATTTGAAACGCTCTTTGCCCATAGCGGTGTTCCAGATGAAAAAAAAAATATTAAAAACATTTAACAGGCAATCTATTTCCGAGCCTCATGATCAGCATCATTTCTAATACGCCGCACCTACCCGTCTTATTAGGGTGGAACCGTTGCCTGGTTTTTTTTTTTGCTCCAAATGTCGGCTGATGACTGCAAATGGTGCCCGACTATTAGTATTATGGTAGACCAAAGAGGCCACATAAAGCTTATTCTCGATAATAACCCCATCTAAAAACACGTTAAAATTGTGCAGCAGCAGGATTCCAGTCAAACCAGTGAGTTTGGCGGTTTTGAGACATCATCTTTCATTGCCAAAAACAACTTTTTCATTTTGCCGACGCGCATGGCTACGGCGACGCTCGCGCGTACCAGAAACCGGAGACTTTTGTTTGGCCTAATGGGCCGAATAGGCCGAGTAACGGTTTAATCATGGAGGAAAGAGGTTGCATTCGAATCAGCTAAGGTCTAGGTCTGCGCCCACTACGCGGGGACGCGTTGACAATAGAAGCCCGTTTCGTTACTAATGGAGATCAATTACTTGTAGTCAGTTCATTATTTTATTCAATTCAGAATTACACAAGTTATTAAAGAGTTTTAGTGCTACGCGCGCAGCATCCCAATTTCTCTGGTTATTAATAGCAGTACGTACGGCCGCTTATAGTAGGCTTGTTATCGTATAGGGCTAGGGTGTGACCCTGTATTAAAATGCCCATAGACACCAACGATAAATGCTCACTATTCACAATTCTTTTAAAAATACTCAGAACTCTCACAGGTGATCAGGATCTACAGAAAAATGATGAGCAACATGTCATCTTTCATTTTCAATTTTTTGGTGGGTTGACCATTTTTTTTTAGATAATCAGCCCGGCCCAAAGAAGAAACGAATGATGTTTGTCCAAGTCCAGGCCAGAGGTTCAGTGCCACATGTCTTCAATTTCCCAATTCCATGGCTCTCAGAACTCTCTCATGTACATGTAGAATATTTTGAGGGTATGATAACTTGTATTCATCGGCGGACGGATTTTGGCCTCATTTACTTACAGGCGTGCACCCCGGCCCGATGCCCTACAACGATCTACCTCACGGACGTCTCGGGCCAAGACCACTATCATGCAGTGTTGGAGCAAAGGCTTTGACCCTCAAGGCCAAGGCCAAGGCCAAGGCTTTGACCCTCAAGCCTCGAGGCCAAGGCCAAGGCTTAACCCTCAAGGCCAAGGCCAAGGCCAAGGCCCTGTTTTATAAAATGACCACTGATATAGAACTAATTATAGTCACATGAGTGACACATCATCACGCAAGGGCGGATCTAGAACACAATGGGGGGGGGGCAAAGAAATTTTGGTCCCCCCCAAAAAAGTGGGTCAAAAAATGACGACTTGGGCTTCGGGGCCCGCTTAAGGGCCCCAAAAAAATGTTGGATTCGAGATGGTCTGTGGTGCGATTTGAGGCAATTTCTGACCATTTTAACCGATGTTTTTTGAGGAAAAGATGGTGGTGTACTCATTGCCTGCCTTTATTACGACGTCACATAACAAAAAATGGTTTCGGTTGTTTGTTTTTTTTTTTTGGGGGGGGGGACATGGCCCCTTTTGGCCCCCCTGGATCCGCCCTTATCATCACGAATTGCTCGTTACGAAGAACAACATTTCTTTAATTGCAATCAACATGCTCGCATAGGTCTACACCATTTTATGACTGCACTGTATCTATTTAAGTATAAGTTCAGGTCTTCAATATGGTTTAACTAAACAAAATAATGATTTACTTCTATATTGACACACAATTCTCCCAAGTGTAACAAAAGGGGGATCCAAGAAACTGATTTGGGAATTTTTTATTTGCTGGCCCAACATGGTATATCAGCATTATCTAAAACAGATACATGCAAATCTTTAGCACTTATCAGGGAGACATATACAACCAATCAGATCTATTCCATAGTTATATGCAATTAAAGTGATCATCTCATTAGCCCCACAAGTGTACGGAATATTTTTGCAGCAAATCTACTACAATGGTAACAAAATGTGATGCTACAAAAGTGGAAGTGTGCCCAACACACAAATCTATAGGGTGCTTCCCTCCTCCATGGTAATACAATTAAAATGGTAACATCAAAATTTCGAACAGATTTATCTGGAAAATGCAAAAATCTATGGGCCTTGAAGAGCCTTGACTCAAAATTGCAAGGCCCTGAACCCTCAAGGCCAAGGCCAAGGCCAAGGCTTTTGCCCTCAAGCCTCGAGGCCAAGGCCAAGGCCCTAAAATCCAGCCTTAAGGCAGCCTTAAGGCCAAGGCCCAGCATCAAGGCACTACATCACTGCTATCATGCCAGAATTATTTAACAAAAAACATCTCATGAGGGCGCTTCACGACGTACACACAGTACGCGCGTACACGGTACTACAAGACATGCAAGACAGCTAGCAACTAGCACTCAGTAGCAGGGCAATATCTCTCGACGTCGACAACTGCGAAAACAATCCTGTAAAGTGTAAGTGGGATACCACGAAGCTCCAATCTTTTTGGAGTTTCTGAACAGTCTACCTACCCAATGTTTGGTAATCCTATGCTTTTACTAGTTTTATGACACCTCTATTTTTTACGAGTTCTGTTCAAAACTGACTTTTGCAGATGACTGTCCAGTACCGGTTATATCCTCGAGAGACCAGTTTTCGCGGGTATAGGGCTTTTTCTTTGTTTTGAAAAAAATTAACAAGTGCAAGATACCAATGGATGTCCTATTTACCTTCCTTAGTTCATGGGCAATATGCAAACAACAATAAAAACTGGACGACCTTCGCAGTTTTCACACAACGGAACGATCTCCGACGTCCTCGCGAAGCGCCTCCACGCGTCGAGCGTGACCTATTTCCGTGGGTTGCGGGGGGTACGGTGTCCCGGTAAAGTCATACGTGGAATAAATGTATGTCATGACTCGGCGTGTCTCCATCAGGCTCCATTGTCGGTAGCTATCTTATATTTTCCAAAAATCAACCTTCTATACTTCGAAAATATATCATATGGTATTAAAGCTATACATTTCAAATGAAAAATAAATAAATGACATTTTACATATTTTTCTTTGCTTTTCTACTTTCAGGTTTTCTTGAGTGGTCGTGTTTTATTTTTAATTGTAGCCTATTTCTTATTAAACCTAAACCTCTGTAAATCATAGCTGACCTCATTTGACCTTCGACCTTTGACATGAAATATATCCTACATCATCTTTGGTACTTAATTAGGTCAATTTTTCATGTAAATTCAGACGAATAGGCCTACTTAGGTAACGAGAGTAATTAAAAAAACATTAAATAAACTTTAACATACGAACACAACGGTCACAGGAAATGTTAGGACTGGTGTCTCCCGAAACATTCGTTTGGGCAACACAAAACTTCAATCGGCAAACTTGTAAATGTAATTTATAAATGGGCAATTGAAATGTATCGTTTCGAGTTTCCTGCCTGGAATATGATCGACTTAACGTACATTCAGTGATCTTGCCTTTTGGGGGGGGGGGGATTTGCCGGGGAAAAAAAACGATTGCTGAAATGGGAAGTTTCCTATTTTTACTAAAAAGTTGGAAATGAAAGCAGTTATCCCCAATGGACCCCTACACATATCCCCACTTTTGAAATATTAAAAAGGTTTCCAGCTGGGGTCTTTATTTGTTTTCTTTTTTATGATGATAATTTCTCCTCTGAAAATGATTAAGAATGAATGAAACTGAATAGCATTTACTGATCTGCAGGCTGCAGACAAGGGAGACCATGACAGGGACAATAAAATGTATCCTTTGCTCGTAGACGGGTTACACTACAACAGTACTTGATGTGTGTCCAATGCATGCAGTTCTCGAACATGCATTGGCCCCACGAGGTGAAGTAGATGGACTCAGCGAGTTCAATGGGGCGGACTCGGCGACAAACACAGCACTTGTCAGCAGTGTCATCGATATCCGAGGCGCTGTCGTTATCAGATGATGGCGGTGCTCTTGTTGAAGCGATGATGTGTTGCAGTGCGGGAGGACTGCTTGGGCCAGGTTGAGACTGTTGAGAAGATATGGTGTAAACCTTCTTTGCTTTTGTTTTGAGTGGTCTGGATGTTGGGGTTTTCTTGCTCTCGGCCTGATATGCAGCGATCTTGTTCCTGCATACCTCTTCTGTGATGGGCTTTCCTGATACCACAGAGCTAAGGCATCGCCTCTTTTTTGGAACCTTTCAATAGAGGAAACATAGGCAGCAAATAAAACAATTATTTCCTCACAGAAAAATAGACATAAAACAAGATAATTGAAGCCGGGAAAATTCCTGAATTAAAATAGTATTATAAAAACCTTAAATTTTATAAAATGATCGCAAAGAGAGCGACATGTACCTTTTTTCTTTGTCCGATCGAGTCTTCTCTCTCCTTAAACAGATCTGGTCTGACATCATGGAGGCCACCATCTGCAGATGAATGGTCACCTTGCGGGCCAACCTCCGATACTTGGGGGAAATCCCCTTCTTTTGTTGCTGGGTTAGAGGTGCACTTGTTTAGAGCTCTAGCCGGAGCGTACATGGCACGATCAACGACACCACTATTCAAAGGGTAAATCCCTCCTTTCTTGAAAGAGCTCCTTAAGTTCTCTGGAGAGAGGGCCTTTGTATATGCATTGCATGCAATCTCACAGACTGAATATCTATCAATCCCTGTCGTTGAGTTGGCTCGCATTTGTCGGTGGCAGAGGGAATTATATATCTTCTCAAATGGCCCAAAGCATGCTAGATCAAGTGGCTGTAGGACGTGACTTGTATGTGCAGGCAAGACAAAGAGCAAGATGTGTTGATCTCTTGCCCAGTCAATCAGTGGTAGGTTGATGTGAGATCGATGACCATCATAGAGAAGGAGTATTGGCTCATCTTCCGTTCGGCTCGCAGTGACATATTTCAAGAAGTGTGTTGAAAGGTATGTCATGAAGACAGCAGTATTCGACCAACCACTTTCGCTGACGGTCCCATCTGTTCCAGGTAAGCAGCCATTGAGTAGCTCCTGCCTCATACGTTGTCCTGGGAATACAAAGTATGGAGGTACTTGCTGACCCAGAGCATTCCCAGCACCGATGATGGTAACGGTCATCCCTCTGCCGCTTGTCACAGCAAGTGGGGTGGATGAGGAGGACGAACCAACGATGAAAGGTGGGGAATGGTTTTGTTTCAGACCCTTTTCGTCAACATTGAAGATGCGTTCAGGTGCATCCTTCAATTTGTATTTTGTCAGCATCTCATCGAGCTTGGCGAAGTATGCCATCACTACTTCTTCAGAGGTTGCCTTCGCTCTGTACAGATCCAGGCTGCGTGGCTTCTTGACACTCAGCTCAGGCCATCTGGTCATAAAGTTGCGAAACCATTTGAGGCTGAGTGGATGATCTTCGTCCCTTTTGTTGAGACTGACAGCATATATTGTGGCTGTATCGATAACTTCGGCCCTGCTATATCCATAACCCAGTAGCGCCATCTTCTTCAGGTGGTCCACCAAGTTGTTCTCCTCTTCGAGGCTGAACACAGGAGCTGGTCCCGATCTTGTTGCTTCGGGGTCAACCTTCCCCAGAACACGATCGCGTAATGTGGACTCAGGGACCCCGTACCTCCTTGCAGCACCCCCAACTGACCCATTCTCATCAATCACGAGACAAAATGCTTTTGACAAAGCTGTTGGTGAGTAGTTTCTGTAAGAAGTTGTTCTGGATTGCAACAGAGGGCTTGTGCACATGTTCTATAGGATAAGAACATTTATATAGATTTTGCTATTGGTGTCACATAATCAGTTGCTCATAAAACTAGTTAATATAATATTTTAATATAATATAATATTTTATTAATAATCTTCTTTTTATCAGATATAAATCAACCTTTGTTGTGCATTATTGTTGAGTTTGGAGTAATTATTTAAGTATTTATTTAAGTAGGCCTATATCATTCATTTTACTCTGATAATGTATAGTCTTATTAAAGAAAGCACAACACACGCTCTTTTCATGAACAAATGTATATTTTTAATATCTCACATGCACATTAATAACCGTCTTATACAAAATAAGCCTTTGCTGTATGTTAATTCATTCCTTCATTTTGAGGAAAATACCGATTTTTCTAGACAGTGAGAAAAATGATATAAGCCACATGTCTTTTATAGGCCTCCGTACTTTTTTCCCAGCATGCTCGGCACTCAAACCAGTCACGTGATTTTGATCATTACGAATTTTTTTTCGAAACTTTGTAAGCTGAAACTTTCAATGATTATGCAATAATTATTTATGGCTCTAGCAATATAAACATGTTTTGTACCTTGCGAATTAGGCCTAAATAACCCAAATTTTGATATTTACAAGTACAACTTACCGGTAGAGCCTTTACTTTCCACATTTTTGGGTCAGCGGAGAGGAGAGGAGATTGTCGGCAACTACAAAAGTTTATTTCGTCACGGGGAGTTGTTTACAGCGCGCCGCGTAACGCAGAAGGTAAGGACGCGGAAATAGGGCACCGCGAAAACAGGTCCTCCCACGATACCTAGCCCAGGTTGGACGAAGTCTTCATTGCAGGTTGGACGAAGTCTTCATTGCAATACGACTAACGTCCAGGACAAGACTTTTCTACATGAAACCATACAACATTTTTACCAGAGTTTTGTTATGTTTTACCTCGTTATAGAAGCTAATATTTCACGCCTACATACTCTATGTGTCCTTATCTGTTAGCACGCTGGGTTCAGGAATTCCATATGCGATGCTGACTGACGTTAATCAGGAAAATAAACTCCAAAGCAACGTTAAACTTGTACGTGTTTGCAGTCGCTTTTCATCAGTTTATTCCCAGAGTCGTACGTCATGTACAATGTACATGATATGTACAAATGTACGTGCGTACAATCCGAAAGCGCGCACGCACGCTAAGCGCCCTCATTTGTTTAGTTTTGGTTGGAACCGTGACGTCACTCCAGCCAACCGATGTCAGGAAAACGCTCAACCAATGACCAAAGCCGAAACGTGTTTCTGGTAACTGGCGCGAAAACACGCTCGGTCATTGGATTAGCGACCTCACCTTCAAGTAAGTGCGCGTGCGTATGAGGGTGGTTACTAAGCAAATCGCGCGTGCGCACTGCATATTCATGCAGCATAGTCTGTCCCCCGGACCAGATGTGATAATGAGCGTCGAGAATAATTGTCCGGTCTAGGGAACCAGACTACACGCTGCACCGTACAGACGTACATGATGTACGACTAGAATAGACTCGGCGGTGAGAAACTGATGAAAAGAGACTAAACACGTACAAGTTTAACGATGCTTTCGAGTTTATTTTCCTGATTGACGTCAGTCAGCATCGCATATGGAATTCCTGAACCCAGCGTACTAACAGATAAGGACACATAGAATACTACGACGTAAAAATTAGCTTCTCCAACAAGGTAAAAATATTGAAATTATTGGTCAGAAATGTTTTCGTTCGGTTGTGAGCACATGTGTACTCAGGACTCCCTCCGTAACGTAGGGAGGAAAGGGAGTCCACCAGGGCTACGGTTATACCATACAAAAACAAACGCTAATGTAAAGCATATCCAAGGCACCACGCTATTCCTCATTTGCATACGTGTGCAAAAATCTTGCACATGCAAATGATCCAATACCAGGGTGAGAGAGCAGGTAGTGGTGGCGCGTACTGCTCGACACCCTGGGGACGAGGTTTGACTATTCCTGGATCTTTTGGTCTGGGAACCAGACTAAAAATAAAGAAGATGTTTATTTTTTATCAGCCAATCAGCATCGAGCTTTCATCGCATCGAGCTTTCACATTTGCCATCTTGGTTTTTGAGTCTGTTTTCTGGTTGTCATCGTCATCTTTTACCCCTGAATTTCCCTCATAAATCAAAGCCCTGCCCTCTTTCCACAAAATTAAACCTGCTGATATTCAAGAAGGTGTCATTGCCATTTGTTCAGATGTTCCAAGAAGTATCAGAATGTCAATTTTGAGTGTCATTTAGTCAACTGTTTTGGTGAGTCTTTCCCTTCCTATATATATAGGAACGGGGTCCTAAAAGTAAGGATTACCCAATGTTTGATAGAATTCACTCCACTTTCTTCGCAAGTTCACTTCGCTTTATTTTCAACATTATTTGGAAATTCCCATATCTGGCCATCATCTGTTTGTTGTGGCGCTTTCTTGTCGTTTGCGCAATCATAAGAATGCGCGTGCTCATTCTTATGATTGCGCAACTGGATACTTGCGCAATCTTCGAAAAAAAATTCATCCAGATTGAGCGCACATTCTTAAGAATGCGCAACAAGAGAAGCGATCTTTTCGCTTGGCGAGTCTAGCTGCATCCTTGTTCACTGATTAATTCTTGGGCCGTACTTAAATAATTATACTGTGGCAATGCAAATTCACTAGGGAAAAGATATAACAATGTAAAGTTGAGTTGAAAGTATTATGCGTATTGGGGGGAAATAATAAGATACATAATAATAGTTTGGTGGAAAGAATTCTGATAACAAAAACGTATAACGTGTTCCTCATCACTCAGCATGCGTACATGTATGGTGAGGGACTTGTAACTTGTCTAGACTAAACAAAGCTTCCCAGACATTGCCAGACTAGTTCCCAGTCCTCCGTTATTACAAAACGTCCCATGGGGGACAGAAAAAAGCAATAAAATCAGCTTTAATTGAATTCAAATTATCGTAGTTCAACGGGTACAGAAGCATAGATCATTTTCTTTTCTCGTCATTTGATTATTTCCCCTTTAACCTCTAATACGTTTAATTTGACATAATAATGCCGTGCAGTGTTTGTTAAGGTTGCGCAAAATTCATATAAGTAATATTCCGACGCAATCTTAAGAATGAGCGCTCATTCTTCAGATTGCGTGCTCATTCTTAAGAAAGCGCACTCGTTTTTAAGAATGCGCGCTCATTCTTAAGATTGCGCAAATTGCAAGAAAGCGCACAACTTTTTCATCACTAATTTTCCCTTCACTTCACTATCAAAGCCATCAGAAAGTGATAATAATTTATATGTATAAAAAGGCAAATTTAGCAGGGAATATAATTGAAGTATTTACTGAGAAAACACTTCGAAATGTTCAGACCAGTCTCATACAGTTTGTGCACAGGGGTGACAAGTGATGGCCAGATATGGCGTGTGTGGGAATTTACCCCATTATTTATTCAGACCATGGTACTATTTTGATACACTCGCATTCAATTTACATTGGACAATTGCAAGCGTGACCTGCGCCGATTTTGGTGGCTGAAGGATACAAATTAATTTAATTTCAAGATTGTAGGCTGGTTCAACACCACCCCCCCCCCCCCCCTCCAGTTCTGGCCAACTGTCCCCTTACCAACTGTCCCCTTACCAACTTGCCCCTTACCAACTTGCCCCTTACAAACTCCCCCTAGCCGACTTGCCCCCTAGCCGACTTGCCCCCTCGCCAACTCGCAAAATTGGTTGAATGGCGCCTATTAATTGTAATGGCTATTGTTACGGCAGCCGTAAAGCGATTTTTATCTGCTATACTATTTCAAAAGCACCATTGCGAATCCATTAATATTTATAACTGCCCTACCAACCTAGCTTGAGTAACTCCAGCTTGAAGTGCTCATCAGGAATTCACATGTAACGCTGGAGACATAACTACGGCGTGAAAGTGTGGTCTTAAGAGACTCTTTGAAAACGGCCTCCCCAAAATTGTCCTTTTTCACCTCTATTATCTCACCCCAGATTTCATTTACATGCCTCATACCACTCAGCAGTCATTCTCGAAGCCAATGATCGACTTGAAACAGAACCAAAAAAAACTAAAATGTGAAAAATATTTTGCCATGTAATCTCAATCCTCCAAATTCCTCCACTTTGGCAAAGAGGATTTTGAAGGATTCAGGGCGGTTAGGGTTAATTAATAACATACTGTTTGAGTGTATGTTATGACCCTCACTGTTTCACACTTTTTGCATTTTTTTTTTCCACTGAATCCTTGTAGAATGGCAGGCACAGCTGGTTTACTGTTGGACACTGATAGTGAAGACGAACTGCCAGCAGGATGGGAGGAGAGAAGCACCTCGGACGGACGAGTGTTTTATGCCAAGTAGGAACAATTGTTTGGTGTTTGTGTTATGTTGTGGCTGTCGTTACAGCAGCCGTAACGCAATCTTCAACTGCTATTGTTAAGGCATTGCAAAACACCATTGTGAATCTATATGCCATTTGTAACTGCCTTTCGAACCAGTGCGCTTTTACGTGTGGACTACAATGTCGAATGTGTCACGGGATCAATTTTGCACAGTGATAATTTTCTTTCGTTTTTTTTCCTTATAATACTTAATAGATTTCTTTACTTTTACGTTTTTAATCAAATCGTACTTTTATTGAAGAAGATTTTATTTTTGTTCCTTTGTGATCCGTGGATGTGGAGGATTTTTTTTTCTAAGGGAAATAAAGTCCGAGAACCATTCGGTTGATAGTCTGGTTCCAAGAACCAAAGATCCTGATGTTGAATACAGTCAGGTCAAGGAACCAGATGCTTAACTGCTGTAACAATAGCAACTGTGTTTATGTTATGCCCCCTCTATAGCATTTGATCCAACTAATTGAATGTCTCATTCATTATTGAATGAGACATCGTCCCAAAGAATCAGCCCTTGTTTAGTTATGGAGTGATATTTTTACAAATGTTGCATTTTTGTGTGGGCCAACAATAATTCCGGGCAGGGTAGACTGTTCCTCCCCCCCCCATCAGAATCGATCATGTAAGGACCAGGTACTATTCAACAAAGGGTAGCAGAAGCCCAAAATAGGTGTTCTGGCAAACTGGGCAGAGGTCGAAATGAGGATTTGGGGATATTAGGAAAGAGAATAAAATTCTTCTCAATACTGTTTGTTGCACTTCAGTCGGTTGTTTCGTTGACAAGTTATGGCCGTTTAAAGTTTGCACTTATCGACATGTCAAAAAAAGTAAAATACTGAGAAAAAGGCCTTTAAAGTTTCGAGTTTTGTACATGTATTTGTGAAAATGAAAGATGCCAATCGTTTTCCCTTTAAAACACCTGTACTCCACGATTTATATACTACTTGTTAAAATATGTGTAGTACACATATCAAAAATTACAAATCTCAATAAATTCCGAATATCGGGGGAAAAAAATCGCCCCTATTTGGTTTTTTGTGCATTTTTTTCCCACTCTGGCTTGTGCCCAGCTCTGCCGCATTGTACCAGAATACCTCACATTTATTAAAGTAAAACATACAAGCTGAAATTAAGTTAAGACAGCTCATATATTAATAAAATGTCCTTGCTCTATGATAAGAGGAATAATTCCAACATAAACAAGGATGCTAATTTATTCCTGGTGTCTACTTTTCCTTCCAACTTTCAAATGTCATGTACGTGTCCCTCTTTGTAAAGAACGTTTCTTTCTACATAACCAACTTTGTCCCCACAGTCATCAGAGCCGCGACACGCAATGGGAGCATCCTAAAACAGGCAAACAGAAGAGAATCACTGGAGGTAAGTAGATTCTCATGCGATTGTTAAACAAAATTTAAATAGCAGAGCAGTCCTTCTGATTTGAAAATCACAGGCGTGTGGGAAAAGGCACACCTGGATTTTTCTAGGTGTGTGGTTTTCTAGGTGTGTGGTTTTCTAGGTGTGTGATCTGTGGTCCAGGGAAATTCAGGCGTGCAATTATTCACACTTCTCGGGAAGCTTTTAGGCGTGCGATGGCGTGGGGGTGTGATCGCACGCCTCAAATCATCAGGACTGGCAGTGTAAATATTTACTTAAGCAAAATAAAAACCTGGCATTTTAAACAATCATGGAAAGTCAAGAAATATGTTACAAGAAATATGATTTGTTACAAGGAGTCGTAGAAAGTGCATAGACTTTCTTATTTGATTTCAGTTGGACTTTTATGTTGATGTTACATCCGTATACATTGTGTACACACTGCAACAAAATTCACCATAAATGTGACTTTCCGTGTCTGTTTCAGAACTGCCTTATGGATGGACAGCAGAGGAAGATGATCAGTCAAGACGAATCTTCGTAGAGTAAGTATTTTGTCGGCTTAATAGTTTACATATGTATCATCGTTTGAGGATGGATAGTTGATATTATATAACTGACATACAGATCCTTGTCATTTGATTGGTGGAACTCACATCATGTGTCATTCGTTATTACTGCCATTCACGCCGGGGCTCAAAAAGTACTAACCGCCCATGGGGAATGGGAAATACTATTCAACAGTAAGGATCATGCTTGTTCCATGATGTGGTATTTGTGTACAAATGCATGCTGGTGTGCGCGTTCAGTGTAGCGCGTATTGTTCCAGTGCCAGTGCTACAGCTTTGGGTTCAAACACTTTCGTGAAGGGGTGGTTTGGAAGAGAGAAATACATATTTCACCAATGTTGTATTGAAATAAAAGTTCAAATATATCAAATGACAAGGATCTATATGTCAGTTATATAAAACAAATATTGAGTGGCTTTAAATTGTGAAATAGGAATATTATCGCTCGGTAAAATCTGGACTTTTCCAGTTCACTCGGCTTCGCCTCATGAAATGGAAAAGTTTAGATTTTACCTTGCGATAATATTCCTCCCATTCCACGCTGAGCCACTCAATATTTGTATATTAGCTCCCCGAGTAATAAGAACAAAGTAGTACCCAGGGCCAAGCCGAGGGAAATAGTTTGTAAAAATACTCTCCAAAATTTTGTCTAATTACGTATCAGTTATCTTGGCAAAACATTTCTGCGCGTGTACTGCCATCCTTTCATGCAGCTAGAGTGAAGTTCACAGGTGCGCATTACCCCCGTGCAATAGTTTCACGATAGTGTAGTTGACTATAGCATAGGTTACTAATGCAATATGTATTACTAACCCTGTGTGCGAAACCCTGCGTGCGCCTTTGGTAAACAGCAAAACTAGCGGCTGATACGTGATGGTGAATAGACCAATCAGAATTTGGCTGTCGCTCATGAATATGTATGAGGTATAGTAATTGACCTTGAGACTGCTCACAGTGTTTAAATATTTAAATTGGAAAAATTCTTTTCAGATATTTGGTGAATGATCGAGAATTTGAATATTCCGTATACTCACTCCCAAAGTCACCATACCAGAAGCAATAGAAATATGCTGCAAACAGGTTAAATGGCAATTAGAGAAATGTTTAAGAAAACCCTAATTTTCGTGACTTTTTCTTTGTTTTCTTCAACAGCCATTTGAATAAGCGGACCACCTACACCGATCCCCGGCTAGCTTTTGCCCAGGAGGAGAGCGGTAAACCGGGAGTCTTACATCAGCGTTTTGATGCATTCAGTACCTCGTTTGGTGTATTGCAGGGACGGGACCTATCTGACAAGTATGCAATCATCACGGGAGCTAATTCTGGAATTGGTAAGGGCAGGCTTCCAAGTATTCCTAATTTTCCTTTTTTTTTTACCTTGCTCCTAGTCCTCTTTTTTTCTTGAACTACTTTTTCCTACTTTTTTGTCCCACAACTTCGAATTATGAAATCTCATTGAATATTTTTCATAACAGTGTTACACACTGTCATATGTAACTCACACAATGAAGGGCTTGGGCGCAGGAGTACTGCAACTGTACTTCCAAGAGCTTAGTTGAGGATGGAGCACAAGTGTTGTGAGTACAGAACACACCGTATGAGGCTTATGATGCTGTGGACATGGGTGAGGATCGAAAAAAAGCACTCCCAAAAGCCTGCAAAAGTCCTATTTTTATCCTGATTTTTCTCCTACTTTTCCGATTTTTCTCCTACTAAACGCACCCTACACATGCAACACGGTATATGAGGTAGTTTATATTCCATTGAGTGTACATGAAGTAACAGTCATTTTTAAAGACCAGTGCGGGCACGTTGTCAGTTTATCATGAAGGCCCCCTTCAATGGCCAAAGCATTGTGCTAGCTGTTGTTCAGATAATCCATCATAGGGCACTTGCTTTGTACAATAGCGTGCACAATGGTTTCTCCATTGAAGGGGGGCTCCTGAGTGTACAGTGAATACGTGCCCTTATTGGTCTATAGACCGTACACATGACCATTCTAGACCAATGAAAACATAGTATCCAAGAACTTATTCAACAAATCTTGTAATCCCCGCCCAACTTCTGCAAAAAAAGGTTTTGAGACTGCAAGATCGCTGGCCCTCCACGGCGTGCACGTTGTCATGGCGTGTCGCAATCTCAAAGCGGCCAATCAAGCAGCAGCAAAGATCAAGGAAGAGATGTCATTGGCTGACGTCCAGACCATGCACCTTGACCTGGCCTCATTCAGAAGCGTCAAGCAGTTTTCAGACAGCTACAAACTGCGGGGCTGGTGAGTTTGTTACACATGAATATCTTTGTTTGGAAGCATTAAAGGGAACATAAAATGAATTTTACTCTGGAACATATTTGTACCAAATTCCGTTCCTCTGAAATGTATAAAAACCATGAGACATCCTTTTTTGGCAAAAAAATGACAGAGTCCACATTTTAAAACATTAAAAATATTTCATGCATTTTCTGTCAATTGAGGGCATTGTTGCTGTGGTTTTACTGTAGGCAAACTCTTCAGATTAAGGTTTTTCTCTTCAAATAGTCAACCCAAAGTTCTGCGTCATGAAAACATTTGTGCATAAAGTTTCCTCATTGTCTAACTGTCATACTTTGAAACAACAATGAACCACTGAAAAAGCAGAACAATAACCACAACATTCTGGGGCTTTTTTATGCTGATGAAGCAGAAGTGAAACTGAAGTTTCTGAATGACATCCAAGATTTGCTCATGAATATGGAAATTTGCATTAGCATAAAAAACCCAAAAATACCAAAAATCCTTAAAATGGCAATATGAAGATTAAAAAGAATGTTAAATGAAACACAAAGGTACTTTTCAAAAATTGCATTTTAGAAATTCCATAATTTGCTACCAAATCAAAAAAAATATGAAAAATCTGTGCCCTACAACCAAACACCAAGGGTGCCATGGGTGGCTAGTGCGTAAAGCGCTCGCCTTTCACCAGTTTGGCCCAGGTTCGATCCCCGGCTTGGACCATATGCGTGTAGAGTTGTTTTTCTCTGGGCTCTCTGGTTTTCCTCCCTCTGCAAAAATCAACACTTTCGATCTCTGGCTGTGCTCTGTGGTTAGACATAGGTTGTATGGCAGCAGCCTACATATGGCACTTTTACATGCCTAGTAGGCTTGACCACGTTGTAGCCGCAATTCAGCTTCTCAGCTGCAAGTAAGGATGATTAGCCTCCCAAATTATTATAATTACCCAAACACATATTTGTTGATGTCAAATCTCTTGTTTTATTGCAGGCCTTTGCACATATTGATCTGCAATGCGGGAGTCTTTGGTATCAAGTGGCAGCTGACGGAAGACGGATTAGAGAGAACATTCCAAGTCAACTATCTCTCCCATTACTATCTTGTGCGGCAACTTGAAGATGTCCTCATCAAGAGCTCCCCAGCCAGGGTGGTTCTCGTGTCATGCGAGGCGCATCGGTAGGTCTGAATCAGCGACCCTGTTTTTGTCAAATTTTACAACTTCTGCTTCTTAGTCCTGACTATTCACCAACTGGCACCAAGTACCGATATGCAAATATTGACTGCTTGGAGTGTGGTAGTATTTAAAACTATAGCCTGCTGAGTGATCCATGGAGCATTCTTCTTTCCTGAGGTGAAGCTGAGGGAAAAATAGAATGCCCGCTTTGTCATCGAGGAGTGGGTGGCTGTACACAGGGTACTCAGTGCCAAGGATCAACACTCCTCAATCCTTCAAAATCCTTCAAAATTTCCCCGCGGATATTGTAGGATTTCAGAGGATTATGGACGATATCGAAGAGCAAACACTGTGCACCTCATCTTGCCCTTCTTTTAATCTCTTGAGCTTTTGTTGGATGTTTTCATTAGTTGTTTACTTATTCACAATCCTATTTGTTTCATTGTTTGTGTTTTGTTTCAATATGTGCTACTTTTCTACTTTACGAAGATTGGAGCTTGTGGTGATAGGAAAATGATTTTCCTTTCGAGATTCGCCTTCTCCACCTCTTTGGCCACCAAAAAAAAACAGTCTCAAGTTTCTGGTATGGAGCTTGCCCAGAAAGTGGTGCAGCAACGTGGGGTTTTTTTTTTTTTTTTTTTTTGTGTTTTTTTTCTTCTTCAAATGTCGGCTGATGACTGCAAATGGTGCCCGACTAAATTTAGTGCAAAATATATGGGAGTCAAGAGAGGCCACATAAAGCTTATACTCGATTGTAATCCCATCTAAAAACACGTTAAAATTGTGCAGCAGCAGGATTCCAGTCAAACCAGTCAGTTTGGCAGTTTTTAGACATCATCTTACATTGAACTTTTTTTTTTTTTCATATTGCTGACGCGCATGGCTATGGCGACGCACGCGCATACCAGAAACCAGACACTTTTGATAGGTGGTTTTAAAGTGCATGTAATATTTTTTATGTTAATTTTGTAGATAAAAAAAATAACAATAATAAAAATAATACAGTAACGTCTTTCTCCAGATTTTTAGATATCTCCTCCAACAAACTGGACCTGAACAGAGTCTGCCTGGCCAGTACCGAGTACCGCTCCCTGTGTGCCTACGGCCAGTCCAAGCTTTGCATGATACTCCTTAGTCAGCATCTCCATCGACGTCTGTCCGACAAGGGTGTGACCTCCAACGCCGTGCATCCCGGCAACATGATCTACACCAACTTGAAGAACAGCTGGTGGGGCTGGCGACTGCTTTTCCTCCTGGTTAGGCCATTTACAAAATCAAAGGTGAGTCTGTACTTTTTTAAAAGAAATTGGATAATCGTAACCCCCTAGCATGATTTACTAGGAACCATACCCATCCTGGCAAATTCCAACACCATATGGGAAACTGCACACATATATTTCTGACTTTGATTCTGGAGGTGTGCCAACCCAATGTAAAAGATTGTCAGTTTAGGGGTACTGTACCCATTCCGACAGATTCCAACAAAACATGCCGTTGGGGTTTGATGGGTTGAGTTCTGTTAGGGTTAATAAAGACTGCCTATCACTCAGTAAACTTTTTCTGTTAGATGATTTGTAATAAAAAGCCGTATCCTCTCCGAGTGATCCCCGTTTGCTATTTCCCAGGTTTTGCAGCATTGCTAATGTTGCTAGCATCTTGAATTTGTGCATGATCCTTGGTTACAGCGTATATAAGGGTTTATGACTTCCGACGTTTATGACGTCTCATGAATGCACTACAAACTAAAAAATGCTGTACAAAGTCTTGTGTGATTTGGAAAATCCTCGTTTTTTCTCTAAATTCTCTCTGTAGAACACTGATACGGTGACACGGAGGTCGCAGGTTCAAACCCTGCAACACTCAATGTCTTCGTAAGTTTTATATATTTTGTTTCTATTATTTCTTTTCTATACTTCGCCGCTCATGATAGCAACAAGGGGCCGCCACCACCGTATACTGCGCCACAGCCAGAGAGCTAGAGGGCCACGGAGGGATGTACTTCAACCATTGTCAGCTGTGTGAGGCGTCCGAGGAGGCTAACAATGAAGACTTAGCCACTGCGTTGTGGCAACTGAGTGACTCTCTGATCAAGGAACGTCTGAGCAGATACACACTTTAACAAGGTTTTTGGAAATGTAGTCTAAGGGTGGCATGTTCGCAGCCTGGTTTTCAGCCAAATTGTTGCGGCAGGATCCAAAGAGAGCGCCCTGTCTGTGTTAATGCATATTCATAGATGACCAGAGCTTTGGAGAATAAATGAATGAAAGGTTAGCGGAAACACCATGAGATGGTTCTGAAAGAACCAAAAAAATAAGTTTCATAATAAGGGCGTTTAAATCACCGACAGAAGGCAGCAGATTTGTGGACTGGTTGGAAGTAGTCGTGCCTTCTACTCGGTTGTTCTGAGTTCAACTCCCAGTGAGACATTTTTCTATTCTTCTCATTCTATCTTTTGAATAACATAAGTAAGGAGGGTACATTTCTTTCAACACGACATGTAAACCTTACGTTGGGTTTGTGTTGTCGACAAAGCATTAGATATGCATGCAACGGACCAATCAGAAGATGGGAAACCCAGTCCGTTTGGGAAAAAAACAAATGTGCAGCCTATTCTCCATCCATTCACACAGCCTTAATGCTGATGTGGGTATGTCACGTTGGGGGTAAGCATATCAACTCCGGCTAACTGCAGCTGCTGTTCAGTGATGTCAAATAACAGATTCTGTGCTTGAACAGTACTAGTTGGTATTACGTGACTACTGGTGAGAGTTTGGTGTGCGGAACACAGAGTACGCCGACTGATTTTGTTTTGAACAAGATCTCATTTGTGAGATCTTTATGTGAGCGCTAGGCAAACGAAGCAAAGACGTTCAAGATGTCTGCCCGACTCTCTCTGTATCACACAGACTCGCACATGTGGCTGGAACTTGTAATATGAACAACAGTATGGATCAAATTAAAACAATTGTACAGTGACACTGTTCATCATTGTGTCTACGCTTGTTTCAATGATTTTATTGTCACAAATCACAAGGGGGGGGGGGGCATTAAACCGAAAAGATTATCCAAGAAGTACATAGTCATAAGTAATTGCGTATATATCGAGTATTCATTCATTTCAGCACCTACAATGTTGCACACATCATACGTGAAATAAATTGGAAGGAAACGTTATTTTTTAACATGGAGCAATGTCGGGCGACGACTGCAAATTATGCTCGCGCACTAATAGAAACATGAGAACACCTGTCAAACGCTTGTTAAAACGTCGTCGTGAAACTTTTTGATGCTGGCTCCCTGCTGTGCTTTATGATGCGCGCAGCTATTGGTAACCAGTGATGGAACCATGCCCCGGTTCCAAACAGTCGACCAGAGGAGTCCGATCATCCTGCACTGCGAGTAAAGTTTAGTCAAACAAACTTTTTTTTAATTGAATACACATATGTACTTTTGCCTCAGTAGGTGTATATTTAAAGAAGAGGTTTTGTATTAAACAGGTTTCGGCTGAACTTTGTTACAATCAAAAGCGATTTAAAGCATATTCACAGTAATGTACAAAATTCTCTTAACTTCTCTGAATAAAAAAAAAAGAAACAATTGAGATTTGTTTTATCACATTAATTTACGCAAGTGTGTTTGCAAAGCAAACCAATTTATTGTCAATTATACACATTTTTAAAGAAAAAAGGGCATGCTTTGCTACATATCTTTAAAACATGAATTTCTACGCCTGTTAATGTGACTACAGCCCACAAAATGAGTTTTCAAACTTTTCAGTTTTATTTACCAAGCCATTTTCACCTTTTCTTGGTCTTTTTCATAACGTAGACCGGCTCTCACATCCAACTCATTTTGGGGGAATTGTCACAAAATAACTAAATACATAAATGTGTCTGCGTTAAATACAATCATGAATAATTCCAGACAAAAGTAATGTTAAGAATGTCTCATTAATGTATTGAATTAAAAACGCGGAGAAATTAGTCCACGCAATATGGAACCTTATCAAAGAAAAAAAAAATGCAGAAGAGTAGAATAGTTGTAATTTAAGATTTCTTTACATAAATTATCCAAACACAAGAAATTGGTTCTTTCAGGAAGAAGTAGAAATTAGATTGTTCAGGAAGTAGGAAAAATTGGTTTAATGGCAATCACAAATTGACAAGTAACAATTTTAGAGTTTGTCCCATTTTTTTTCTCTTTCAGATCAACAAACCGACAATCACACATAAAACTGGACATTTTTTTCTCATGACATTCTGTACATCTATGAAATGGTTACACACTTTAATATGCCGCCAAATTTTGTAAATGTTCTAGATATGTGTCCACTAAAAGAATTGGTACGTCCGGTTACGATTCAATGTTTCTTTCAGTAACGATTCAATGCTTTTGGTTACATAAGGCTGCTTCAAACTTTTGCTAACGCTTACATGAAATAAAATGAAAGAGATTGAGGCCTAGAAGCCTATAAACCTACTTAAACTTACGACTGATGGCCGATGTTCTAAACTGAAGACTGAAAAAGATAGGAAGCCATTTTGTCTCCAGGGCCCAGCTTTCTTTCTGAATGTAACAAGATATAACTTCGGACTTACAATGGACATCAGACTTAAAAATAATAGTAGACAAGCTCTATATCTTCAATTACGAACTAGTTTGCAAAACCTGATGCATCTGAAATGATCTTGGAGGTTGAGATTCATTACAGGTAGCATGAATGACACAATTTTGTGATCATATGGCGACAATTTAACAGTTTCAAAGTTGAACAAAGAAATTGACCGGAGCAGGGTTTGAACCTGCTTCCTCCGGATTAATGATCAATTTCCCTTTGTAGTTTGAGAAATTTTAACAAGACAAGGGAACTTAGGTTTTGAGACATCTTGATTGGACACATAAACATTGACCTGTGTGTGATTGTTTGCAACTCCCATTGTGCAATGGAGCAATCCGATAAGCCCCGCCCAATGTTTTGACCAATCACAGCCCTGATTCATGTCCGACATGCGTGTTTGGAGAATGCATTGGGCACTGGAGAGGCCCAGTGAATGGATCGGCAAGTTGGACCGTGAATACAAATACAGTCGAGTCTCGTTAATACAAACTCGTTCCGACCTAGCCAAATTGTTTGTTATATCAGAATTTTGTATTAAGAGGAACATCAGTCCCATTCACTGTGTACATAAATGCACAGTCGGGACTAAGGCGTTATGTTTGTTATAACCAGAATTTTGTATTAACAGAGTTTGTACTAACGAGATTCAACTGTAATTTGTTACTTGCATACTGCCTACATAAACATCAGCAGGGGACCGTCACGTTCTTGAATATGTCAACTGATTTTAGATAAACACTCCAAAACCCTATTAGGAACTTGAGGAGGAAAACTACAAACGATAAAACAACTAGAACCCCATTTTTATATGCGCATGTTTTATATCTACTTCTATACTAAAATTCACCAATGCCAATTTAACAATTTGGTTTGGAAATCAGTCACCTATAAGGACCTAAAAACGATTGGAGATGTACATGCACTAATTGCACTTAGATTAGCTGCAAACTGTAGCCTTGTGACAGTGCTTGCGTTTACAAGTAATTCCACATGCAAAGGGTACATTTTCCCGTATGACAACAAAATTAGGAAAATCAGTAGCTGTGGCCCTATTTCATTATTAGAGACCATCCACAACAGAATCAACACAAGCAACTGAAAATTGTCCATGGTGGAATTAATTAGATTTGTTTTTTTTTGTTAAAAAATCAAATTACTAAAAAGGAACACGACACTTATCAATGAATGGCCCATCTTGTACATGTGTGTACTTTTTTAACAATCACAGAAGACATGTACAAAGATGAAAGACTGAAGCATTTTGGAACTAGTCTATAAAACTCTTTATTTTATCCCCGAATCATTTCTCCATCTGCAAAATTCTTACACAGTGTACACACCCATTGTTGACTTCTTAAAGCGTTCGGAAATTTAATTAATTTATTGATGAAAATGCACTGTCTCAGCATAGAAATGTGTTGCAAAGTTACGCCCACAATTAAGCCCAAGAATAACCTCAGTGCTGTGCAACTAGTAATTTCCCAGCCGCACGGCATCATGACTAGTCACGGCACCAAGACTAGTCATGACTAGTCACAGCACCACGACTAGAAGTCACAGCACATTGACTAGTCACAGCACCACAACTAGTCATGACTAGTCACGGCACCACGACTAGTCATGACTAGTCACAGCACCACAACTAGTCTTGACTAGTCACAACACCACAACTAGTAGTCACAGCACCACGACTAGTCATGACTAGTCACAGCACCTTGACTAGTCACTGCACCACAACAAGTCATGACTAGTCACAGCACCTTGACTAGTCACAGCACCAGGACTAGTCATGACTAGTCACAGCACCTTGACTAGTCACTGCACCACAACAAGTCATGACTAGTCATGGCACCATAGTCATGGCACCATGACTAGTAGTCACAGCACCACGACTAGTCATGACTAGTCACAGCACCTTGACTAGTCACAGCACCACAACTAGTCACGACTAGTCACAGCACCACGACTAGTCACGACTAGTCGACTACAAAAGAATGGAGGTTGCGACTACAAATAGTAGTCACCAGTGACGAGTAGACTAGTCGCACAGCACTAGCAAAAATGCTTTAGGGTTTGCAAAATTGAAACAGGAAAAAAATCTACAAATGATCGTAGCATTTTTCCAATTTTCATAAACATTTTAAGGGACAGACCACCAGTTTAACTACGAAATGGATACCATGCAAGCAATGCAAAGGCTATTTAACATTTCAACATCTTTGATGAAAGCCAAGATTGGTGTATTTAACAGGGGTTTTTTTAACAAATATTCCACATTTATACAGTTTTGATTGATATATTCTGATTTTCTTGTGCATTATGATTTTTTGAGCATGACCAGCTTGAATTGTTGCTTCGTTTGACCAGATATGGAAAAAAAGGAGTTTTTCTTGCACACCGTATATTTTTCATTCCTTTGCGCCCACACGCCTATTAATGTACACTTACCCAGAGACTTAATGAATGATGACGATATTGCTTCAAAAGAAATCCAGGCCCTTAAACTGTTTTTCTGGTAAAACATTTGTTTTGGGGTTTTTTATTTTTTTTTAATGAAAACCTTGGACTGCTTATTCATAATCACATGGATGTACTATTTTTCAGTTCATAATGTATTTGTTCCAGCGTGTCCTTATGTTTTATTGTCACATGCAAATGAATATTCCCGTTGCGATTGTATTTGCTTAATGAAACGAAATGACTGACGCAAGTAATTTCAATCACATACTAGTGTTTTTCTCTTTATAGAATCGAAATGACTTGTGTTTCTACTTTTATTAATGAAATGAATGTGCGTGTATGATTGATTATATTTGTCATCACATTGGTCCCTGCTTATTATTTTCGAAGGAGCAGATTTTTTTTTTTAAGACAGAGACTGGGCAGACTGTATAGGCTTAGTAAGTCTGTTTTTTTGTTGAGCTTTTTGATTTAGTGAATGTTTTACAGGATGATTTTCCCAACCAGGATCCCCACTAGGATGGCAATGACCAGAGCGACGACCGAGGGCATGTTGTTGACTTTGGTCTCCATGACCGCCGGCTGGACAGACGACATCTGGGTATCGCCGCCGGCTTTACGCTGTCGCACACCATCCTGAAATAAAAAACAAACAGGGACATACATATAATGAGCCATTAAAACGAGTCAAGTGAATGACGACGTGGCTGTGATTAGAGCTAGGACGGATACCAAGGTAACCCATACCCAAGTGGCGGTAAGCCGTTTCATTTTCTGGCTTTAACACCCAAAAATCTCTGCATAGTCCTACAAAGCCCTTTTTACATCGATCATTTGCTGGTCCTTTTACGTCCAAGAAATTCTTCATTTGCTTTGAGTCCATCTGTTGACAAGATCTGACAAAGAGCTTGGGATTTTATATTTCAAGTCGCTGTCTTAGTGCCATTACAAACAGGGCAATTTACAGGCAACTTGTTCTTGGTGATAATCCAAGAAGAAAACCAAAGGCGAATTTTAATTTTTCCTCAAATGTTTACAGTCGACTCTCGTTAATACAAATTCTGGTTATAGCAAACATAAAGCCTTGGTCCCGACTGCGCATTTATGTGTGCAATGAATGGAACCGACATACAATTAATACAAAATTCTGATATAACAAACATTTTGGTTAGGTCCGGCTTAGTTTGTATTAACGAGAGTCAACCGTATAAGGAATGTCCATAAACTGTGTGAAAAATATTTGTTCATCGTGAGGGTTCCTTTATCTCATAGTCCATTTGGTTGCGTCCAAGTTGCCTGTGAAAATTACCATGACTTGACCCTTAGAGGCAGTTTTGCAATGCTGTGCGGGTTGCGTGCAGAGGAAAATACCTTACTTCATTTTGTACTTTTGTGTTTTCTCTGTGGGCACCTGACCAATGGGTACCCGATTCCAAAATGACCTGTAAAAGTACACCCCTAACCTCCATGAAAAACACAGAGTAACGAGTATAAACTTTGCAGTACAAAGTGTGGAAGAGCAAAATGACAAACTCTGACTATGTCACACTTTTATAAGATGGAATTTTTGCGCCGGGGTAATATTATTCAAATTAGGTTTTGCCCTTCACCAACGTTTTCAAACACTGTATACTCAGTGTGTTACCTCCCGAGTGAAAGTTGGAAAAAAAAAAAAATTACTCGGGTGGGACTCGAACCCACAACCTCCTGCTTTGAGTGGTAAGACATCTGCACTAGAAAGTAGGAGGTCGTGGGTTCGAGTCCCACCCGAGTGATTTTTTCCAACTTTCACTCGGGAGGTAACACACTGAGTATACAGTGTTTAAAAACGTCGGTGAAGGGCAAAACCTAATTTGAATTATGTCAAACTTGTTTACAAATTTGGACGCTGAGGTTACGTGATTCCAACTTGAAGCAACATCTGCGCTGCATGTACTTGACTTAAAAATGTATGGTACTTTTCAATTATTGACGTTTACTGTGTAATCCAGAAAAATCACATGAGAAAGACTCTTGGATGGCTGCGTTGCTGTGTGTGACATCAACGGGGATAAAGTGAAGTGCAAATTGCTTGTAGGATTGACAAATTTGGTGGTTGAACTAACTTACTCTTAGGTTTGTGTTCTCTGTCCTTAGATTACTGACTTCCTGTCTGAGTGCCCTGCATTCCTCCACCACTGTCTCCAGGTCTTTCTCTGCCGTCTTGCCTTGGCTGTCTGCTTTAGGAGACTTGCCAGAACTGCCAGGCTCCATCTGCATTGGGATTGACAAACAAAACAAAAATTCACAATATGATATTAATTAATATCAAGGTTTGTCGGATGCATTTGTGCATGTGGACTGGAGCTATTTCAGCTGGAACTGCATGTCGTCACCATTTTGACTAAGCAATAGACCTCATGCATTGCAGGTGTCTCGAAGGGTATTCTTAATTGATTAACAATGAGTGCACAAAAGCTTTACTCATGCCTATCCAAGCAATATAAAACCATCGCCCTCGAACTCCGCCTTAACCCTAACCCTCCTCAATCCTCCAAAGACTTCCAGGCGGTTGTGGAGGATTTTAGAGGATTGAGGCTGAATGGCAAAATGATTTTAGAGGATGCATTGTGCCAAGTTTGAAGGTTTTACTCGGCATTGTTTGTATTCAGTCATGCATACTTGAGCCCTGCATTAGCCCCTCAACTTATTACAGTGACTGTTGGAGGATTTTGAAGGATTGAGGCAGTGGTCACCCCTCCACTGAACAAAATCAAGACATAACGGATGATTTTTGAGGACTGAGGCAGAATCTGTACCTGAGCACGTGGTCAGGTGTCCTTTTTCACTGTTGAAGAGATACTTTGGCACAGAGTCCACAGGACTTGAATCAGTTTGAAATAACAATTTACTCAAATTTGAATTTCCGATCAGTTAAACAACTCCAATGTTATTGAAGGAGAAGTTGGGTCAGCCAAGCAATAGCAAACTAACATGAGATGATGAGAAACAACACAATGGTATCAAAAAGTTGGTCTACATGTACATTCTTTCTTTTTTTCTCCAAAACTGCACTTCATTTTTCAAATATTCAACTCATGAAAAAGTATTAAAATATTCACAAATTGATCAAACATTTCAGCAACCTCGTACCCAGGGTGTCGAGCAGTACGCACCCATCACTACCTGCTCTCTCTCACCCTGGTATTGGATCATTTGCATGTGCAAGATTTTTGAACACTTATGCAAATGAGCAATAGTCTGGTGCCTGCATGTGCATTACATTATCGTTTGTTTTTGTATGCGGTGTCTGGGGTGAAAACAGAGTAAATTTGTCGCAGCGCGAGCACAGCGTGAGTTACGAAAACACAATTTATTTAATTAAACTGTTACGATCTTATCAAAACAACATGCAAATCACATTTCTTATTAAAATAAACAAATTGGAAAGAAAATGAGTATTTTTGAGAATGCGTGGACGAATGATTGCGAAAACACATACTGCACGTTGTGAATAACAACATCAAGTGCATGATAAAAATCCATTACTAGCCAATTGCGGTATCGAATCAGGATGCAGGAAGAAAGTTTCCTATCCAGGGCTTACTATTGGAAACAAGGTTGGAAGTAAAGTAAGCACTGGGGACGAGGTTGACATTTCAGTAGTTTGTTCAGCTTCAGCACGTACACCCAGAATACCCTTGTCACAATCATTTTATCCAAGGGATATTGAGGTGAAACTTGCTCACTTTCCCAGTCGAAAATAAAAAGTCACTTACCACTGAAGCAGCATGTGTAGCTTGATTGGCTGGTAGTTCAAATACACACTTTAACTTGGTGTCCATCAGAGCGCCGCTTTCTTGCGACTTCCACTACAGGGGGAAAAAAAATTGCCATTTTAAAAGTTAAAAGTACAAAAAAAAGAGGTGCTAGGATCCAGCAAAAACTGCATTTAATCATAACCCCCTAATTAGTTTTGCTAATTAGAAGACCATAGTCAACCAAATCCATCACTCCTTCTAGTTCATATAATGCTTCAGGACCAAATCCATTACAATCTACCACTGGTGCTGGTGGAATTTGATGGACTTGGTATGCATGACTTATCTGCCAAAATAGCCCACAATGGGGGATGGAATTTGATGGAGTTGGTCAGGTAGGGGCTAATCTTAACATTACCAGATTTAACACTGTGCAATGTTCAGGCGTTATTGTGTGTTGGTCATCAACACCTGCCGACTCTGAAACAATGGGAGGTACTCCCATCCAACAATGCCACAATTGTCTCCTGCTGCAGTCGGCAGCCACAGACTCCGAGGCAAATTGGCCTTGGGAATTTTGACCTGTGGGATCTTGTAAACACAGGGAAGGCTCACTTTGACGAGCGTTCTACGCTGTTGCACTGAACAGGTTTTCTGGACAAAATAACCTGGGTTTGGGTTAATTGAGAGCGATAATATTTCCATCAGAAAAATTCAGACTTACCACTTCTTCTTGATTGACTTCTCCCGGGGGCGCAATGAGAGACTGCACCATGAACTTGTGCTTGTTCTTCTCATTGGGATCATATTCAAACGGCTGCAGCATGACTGTGGAGGTGTTAACAACAAAAATGAACCATTACTTTTTACTAGTCATCCAGTACTTCGTTTTTAAGACAGACATTAAAAGAGAACAATTATGGAAGCAGAATTCACACCTTGGCTCCCAAAATATGGTAGAGGCACGCAAGGAACTGAACCCCCTCGCCTAAAGTTGGCAGTCTCTATATTTCATAGAACCACACTCCTCTGAAGTCAGTAAGCTCATACCATGGGTTAGACTGGGACCTTAAGTGCTAGGAAAGCAGGCCAACTTTACTCACTCTTTGGCCGACAAAATTCTCCAAAAATTTTCATGAGGCAAAGACAAGGTCCTCAGTATTTCACCAACCAAGCTTGAAGACTCAAATCAATTTTTAAAGAAGACTTTTCTTAAATATTTTGCACATTGAGAGGGAAGTCAAGTGATTTCAAAATGAGGCTAAAGACTAGACTGGTACACGTCCAACCATGGTCCAACTATTTAAAAAGACTGACCTCTTCATTCATTGTCATTAGTCTGGCAGCCGACTATGGAGAAATAGAGACTAATACCAGACATGCCAGATGTTTCTTTTGCCACAGTTGATTGATGCAGTACTGAAGGGTTGTTGGACTGGTTGTTTTCAGTGTCAGTCTATTTTCTTGTGTTGCATGTTTTCAGTACCTTAAGTTTTGGGACTCTCATACTCGTACTGAGAGTCCAGATTTCCGGACTAACTATGGGTGTACCTCCAGAACTTTTCCCAAGTTGTATTATTTTCAACTTGCAAAGCCTCACTACTTTCATGAATGCATGGCATATATAAACCAAAGGTTTATGTTCTAGTCTACAGTTCCCCACTGCAAAACGAAAGCGCAGTGCAGATTTGATTAACATGTCCCAATAGACCTGACTGCCCAAGTGTAAATGAAAAACCAAACTGGCTTAACCAGGTAAGCCTATTTGAGGCAAATTTGGACAGCCAAATTTCACGTTGACTACATCTAGCGCCGAGATGGAAATGACATACCAGAGACTTTGACAGACTCTTTTGGGCCGACGATGCCACTGTTTGGCCGGACGCAATACCGGCGGGGAGCTGTGGTCTTGATCTTGAAGCATACCGTCTTCTCTGAGGGATTAATCAGCTTCAGTTCAGAGGACACCACTTCGGTGAAAGGACCTACGAAATAGGATAAAACCAACAAAAGTTTAGGAAAAATAATATTAAGACCTAGGCGTGCTATGCCTACTTTAAAGGAATACCTTTGCTGCAGTTCATTTGAATATCTTGTGAATTGAGTTCAGAGTCCATTATTTGTGATTGACAAATATGACAAATGTTGGCCAATGTTGTTGGCCTTTCTGAAATTCCCATATCTGGCCATCACTAGTTTTTTTCCTACCGTGACCTATATCAGCCATCAAAAAGTGATAATAGGCCTAGGCCTATGCCATAACATAAAAAGTCAAATATTTGTTTAGCAATAGCAGGGAAAACAGCATTTACTGAGGAAACACTTAGACATTTTCAGACCAGTCTCATAGGGTTTGTGCACAGGGTGAAAAGTGATGGCCAGATATGGGAATCTGGAAAGATTCCCATATCTGGCCATCACTAATTTTTCCCTTCAGTGACCTATCAACCATCAGAAAGTGATAATATGTCCTAAAAAGTCAATTTAGCAGGGAAAATATTTAAATATTTACTGAGAAAACACTTAAGAAAATTTCAGACCAGTCTCATCCAGTTTGTACACGTGCCACAGGGTGAAAAGTGATGGCCAGATATGGGAATCTTTCCAGCCTCTCTAACAAAACATGTCTACATTAACACTCGACTCAACAAAAGTGAGCTGTTGAGAATGGCACTGGCAGCAGATTTGTTACTGCTTTTTCACGTTTCGTCCTAGCCCCACTAGTGTGGCCGTCGGTATGCTGCGCTGAACCTAAGGCCACACACCGTGGTACCGCGCGCTACTGAGGACGAAGTTTTCATAAAATTCAGGGCAGTTTCTTACATTCTCAGTTTCTTACTTTCTTATGGTTGTATTCTATGATGTCTCACCAATCACTTCTGGAATGCTAGGGTCTAATGATGTTCCATTTTCCGAGATATTCTTCAATCTTTCTGGAGTCCATATGCACTCGTGAAACGTCCCATTTTGAATGGGACAAGAGATGACCTCAAGCTGTGACGTCGCGTGTATGCAAATTGCTTGTCGAGCGCGCGAGGGCGCGAGTTGCAAATGCGACGGCTGTTTCCTGTACCATGCATTTATCGTCAGGGGGCCACGTGCACCGATCTCTATTCAGGATCTACGGCACAGGAAACAGCCGTCGCATTTGCAACTCGCGCCCTCGCGCGCTCGACAAGCAATTTGCATAAACGCGACGTCACAGCTTGAGGTCATCTCTTGTCACATTCAAAATGGCTGCCACCACCAGACGTTTCACGAGTGCATATGGGCTCCAGAAAGATTGAAGAATATCTCGGAAAATGGAACATCATTAGACCTAAGCATCCCAGAAGTGATAGGTGAGACATCATAGAATACAACCATAAGAAAGTAAGAAACTGAGAATGTAAGAAACTGCCCTGAATTTTATGAAAACTTCGTCCTCAGTAGCGCGCGGTACCACGGTGTGTGGCCTTAGGTTCAGCGCAGCATACCGACGGCCACACTAGTGGGGCTAGTTTCGTCCCTCTTTCATAAACATGTTTCTCCCACTCAGACCATCATCTCTCTCAAATCTACAACTTACAAGGATTTAAAATAACGACCACTTTAACACATTTGTCAAATCCCTTAAAAACAGCATTGAACAACTTGAAAGATAATGATTACAATTTATGAAATAAAATTAAGTTTAATTGTTAGGCCTACCTCGGAACCTCAACTCGTTGGGAGGATCAATCTCCAGTATTTGATCTGACTTCGACATGTTTGGTGCTGTATTTGACTTAATCTTTGGATTCTAAAACAACACTTGTTGTAATATGTTGATCGCAGTCACGACCTCTGATGTAAAATGTCGGCTATCGGCTTATATATCAACGTTTTTCCACCGAAAACCAATATTACATGCAACCGCGAACAGCACTTGCTCAATAATCTACAGCCATCTTGGGACGATTGCGTGTGGGGTCAATGTACTAATTTCCTGTCTGGTACCCTTTCCAGTAAGAGATAGAATCAACGGTAACCGCTCTTTCTCCTGACTAAGTGCGCGCATACAAAATGATCATGATGAGTGAGGGCGTGCTAGCGCTAGTGCTTAGGCTGGAGCGTAAAAAAAAATATATGTTCGATTGTGAGTTAATCTTTAAAGAAAATTTAGTCAAGTGGGAAATTCTGAAAAGTTTTTTTGTTGTCGGGGGCGGGTACCATAGGCAGACCTGTTTTGTGTAGGCGTCAGATATAAATTATTATTGTTTTGCCTATATGTAAACTAATTCATTATATTTCATTCCAAAAAGCATGATGTCATTACTCGCGCAAAATCAAATAGACGTGCATAATATATCATGCAGCCCCCCCCCCCCAAAAAAAGTTTATCAGCCAATCTGAGCGCGGGACGGGGGGGGGGAGGCCCCATCATTGATCCCCTGGGCCCGAAACAAACAAATGAAAATCGTGGGAAAATGAAGCCATGATCTTATCCCTCAAAGGGTCGGGCGGAACCTTTTTGTTCTCGCGCCATGAGCCTTGTGAGTCTGAAGATCATCATTAATACCAAATTCATTAAATTTGGAGAAATTGGACAATTCCGTCCGTTACTATCCAATAGGAAGAAACGTTAAAGGCTAACCTTTGGGAATTCTCCAAGTATGAACTTTTTAAATTCCATTCCAATTTTAAAAGCTGTCATTTTGCACGGGAAAGATTTGCGGGGGAAGAGGGGTTGCTGAACGCGGGAATCGGTGCTTGGTAGTGAAAGCGTCCACAATACGGAGGAAAAACTGCATCGCTTTAATTAAATGAAAGACCTTCCCGGACAGTTTTAACTGCTCAATAATTCATTCGAAGTTTTTTTTTTTTTTTACATCCATAGGCCTACAGTCCAGGTATTGAATGAAGCGCAAAAACGGACTCACAGAAAATAAAAGTATTACATGTATAGGCCGTGTCCCGACATCCCCCCCCCCCCCCAACAACAACTTGGCGTCTCACAGGCGCCTAAACGCGGATATTGAAAATCGAAATCAATTATTTTCCCCAATGAAGTTTAAAGACAAAAGTAAATCAGGCATTTCTTTCAGATGTATTTGAATACTGCATCGTTTTTCAGGAGAGAATCTATAGCTGCAAGGGAACGGGGGGGGGGGATGTTGATATGGAAGGTAGGGGAGGGGTTGAGAGAAGACGTGCCAAAGACACGCAGGGGTCTTTCTCCTGTATTCTAAGGCAATTTGAGATTAAATTGAATAACTTTAGCATTCCATTTACTACTTTAATAGTATCATAACATCATTCAGCGGCTGAACGGGGGGGGGGGGGGGGGGGGGCTTACAACCACCCCCCTTCCCCCTCCCGATCCACTGCATTCGATTACAATTCGTCAGACTCCCACTTTCTGCGCGCATGCGATACGATCGCGACTTGGTAAAATGCGAATAGCGCCCTCAATGTCACTGATGCGTCATTTTTAAAACTTCGACCTTGTTGGACTTTAGTTAGTCTCCGGCGATGGATGAAAGCTAGTATTTCTGCCGCGGCCGTAGCAGCCGCTGACTAATCTTATGAAACTAGTAAAATGGGGCCACAAATAATAAATGGAATGCTAATGTTCCTAAAGTTAGTTTTGACTTGCCTTAGAATGCAGGAGAATTAAGCTGGTCTATGGAATATCCCCTTGCCGCAGTATAGAAGGAAAACCACGGCCGCAGCAAGGGTCTATGATATGCGAGCAGATTCGGCGATTAATTATGCAAAACAAGACTGCGTCTTGACCTCGAGCCTCTGACCATTCAGCGGGCGCCTTCTAGAGGGTCTTCGGTAACCCGTTGTTACAAAACATGGCAGCCAAACTGACCAATCAACAGCTTAGTCCACATTATCGAAATTAAGTCACAATTTCTGAAGTCGACTCCAAAAGCATTATATGGTAGATTTTGGAAATTTTCCAAATATGAACTTTTTATATTTCATGCCAATTTAAAAATCTGTCATTGCACGGGCGAGATTGATGAAACGACGGAGGGGATGGGTTGCTGAGTCGAAATCAGTGCTTCGCAGTCTTCCAAAATTCGCATCTTTTAAATAAATACTTCTGTTCCTTTCGTCAATAAACTGTATTAAAAACTGAAAGGAGAGGAAAGAATATGCGTTCGTGTGCTTCATAGGCGTTTGTGTTTCTGCCATGAATTAATCATGGTCAAAAATGCTTTAACTAACACTATAGCCTACACTTTCCAAAACATAATATCATATCACCATCTACATGTTCGGAAACAAAATCTCATCACCATCTACAGACGGTTACGGGTGAAATAAAAATATATCATATCAACATCTACATGTTCAAAAACACCATCGAACATGTAGATAATGATATAATATTTTGTTTTTCGACTTGTAGATGGTGACATATGTTTTTCAAACCTGTTAATAATGGTGATATGATGATTTCATCATCTTCACAGTGAACATTAAAAAAAATCCATCATTTTTATCAAATCAGGTTTGCCCTCACCGACGTATAAACACTGTATACTCAGTGTGTTACCTCCCGAGTGAAAGTTGGAAAATATTACTCGGGTGGGACTCGAACCCACGACGCAAAATTCCACTTTATGAATCATTATTATCAACAACTGAAATGTAACCGCGGGGGTCTTTCTCCTGCATTCTAAGGCAATTTGTGAATAAATTTAATAACTTTAGCCTTCCATTTACTATTTTAATAGTATCGTAACATCATTCAGCGGCTGAACGGGGGGGGGGGGTGTCCCGACCGCTACTGATTTTTCAAAGTTTGTGGTTGTAGCCACGTAAAATTCATCAGACTTACTCGCGATCGCATCACGGTAAAATGCAAATAGCGCTGTCACGCCCCAACTATCGCATCGGTCCCAACTATAGTTGGGACTGTCCCAACTATAGTGCGGCAGTTGGGCCGGCCCAACTATAGTTAGGACTGGAGTTGCGCCGGATGCTTCATGCTTGATAGATCTTGTTGGATTAAATGTTCCGCGGCGCTGGCACCGTGTATTCGTCGTGCATGCATGCCGCAAGGCTGGCCGGTCACGTGGTACTGCCTAGTTGGATGAGTTGTCCAGCTGCTGGGTTGATTGTCCAGCAACATTTTGCAAAATTCAAAGATTGCCATGGCCGGCCAACTATAGATGGGCCCCACCCATAGCTAATGTCAAAGGTCCCAAGTAAAGTCGGACAGTATGTAACAGAGCTAGCTGTAGGGAATGTTTTATAGTCGTCGTACATCAATGTAAACTATAGTTGGGACCGCCAAATAAAAATATTGCGGTGGCCCAACTACAGATGGTCCCCACCCATAGATAATTTCATTGGTCCCAAGTAAAGTCAGATGTGTATTAGAGTTGTAGGGAATGTTTTATAATCGTACAACCATGGTACAACAATGTACACTATAGTTGGGCCCGCAAAATAAAAAGATTGGAGTGGCCCAACTATAGATTCGCCCCATCAATAACTAATTTCAGTGGTCCCCAGTAAAGTCAGACGTGTATCAGAGCTGTAGGGAACGTTTTACAGTTGTACATCAATGTAAACTATAGTTGGGACACCGCAAAATAAAAAGATCGGAGTGGCCCAACTATAGATGGGCCAGCCCAACAGTGGAACTTACAGTTGGGACCGTCCCAACTATAGTTGGGACAGGCCCAACTATAGTTGGGCCAGCCCAACTGTGGAACTACAGTTGGGACAGGCCCAACTATAGTTGGGACAGGCCCAACTATAGTTGGGACCGATGCGATAGTTGGGGCGTGACAGCGCCCTCATTATTACCGATAAATCATTTTTGAAACTTCGACCTTGTTTGATTTCGTCTCCTGCGAGAATGGAGTATGCAGTAGTATACCCTAATTTTCAGCGGCAGTAGCAGCCGCTGACTAACTAATGAAACTAGTAAAATGGGGCCACAAAAAATAAAGGGAATTCCAATGTTCCTTAAGTTAGTTTTGACTTGCCTTAGGAATGCTGGAAAAAGCTGGTCTACTAATATGCCCTTTCCACGGTATGAGGAAAGAACTTGAACCATGGCCGCTGCAAGGGTATATAATATGCGAACTCGGACTCGGCGATTAATCATGCCAAACAAGACTTAATTGACCTGGAGGTTCTGACCATTCAGCGGGCGCCTTCTACCGGGTCTTCGGTAACCCGTTGTTGTATTACAAAAAACGTGGCAGCCTAAATAGACCAATCAACAGCTTAGCCCACACTGATGGAAACTGCCTTCGGCACTAAGCGGCCTTAGCTTCAATATCATCCCTAGCTCCCCGTTACCCGCTGAAAGCTATGATCCGCCCCTGGTATGATTATTGTTCAACCCTCACCCCCACCCACCCACCCCCATACCATGTTCAAATGCGAATATTACATGGGCCGCGGGGGGGGGGGTGCAACTTACACCGGACCCCTCCACCTGGCGACATTTTACCATATTTTTGTTTATTAAGAAAATAGAAGCGCCATCATTTCACTACCGCTACAAGTAATAGTATCCCTACCCCTTTTTACCAAAGTTACCAACAAAAAGTAATCGAAGTTTTTTTCTGTAAATAATTCCCGTTTTGCGCCTCCTATTAGCCTAATCCGTAACGACACCTCGGTTTGAAAAGGGTCCCTTGCACGTGTTAACGTGGGACGTTCCATTGACTAGCCTTGACCAAGGCGTTGGGCTTATCGATTCGCCGATAAAAAAAATCGCCGATAAGAAAATCCCTAATCAACTTGGCAAGGCATAATTGCGTGCACATATCGATGCCCGTACGCTGCTAGTGAGAAAGCAACTTGTCCCATACAGCAAGGCTATGCTTGTACATGTACGTACGCACGTACATGTACATGTACATCACACACGTACTCGTACAACAGCCATGCACACACAGTACTGTACATGTACATGTACATGTACATGCATGAGCTAGTCCGCGTAACCCAACGCCTTGATGGTTTTGAGTTGACCCAGCAAAACCTATTACGGTAATGAGGTACCACCCCGCGTATATACTGAATTCTCATTGGTCAGCCCGCGATAGGCTAACTAACACGTCGCATCCGCGAAGAAACGCTGCAATGGCGGCCCGTTGCTGTGGGTGAAAGTCGTTCAGTCCCAGTCTGTCCGAAGCAGTATTGAATGCTCCAACGAATTCTGCAGGTAATGCTGTCAATAGACGATCGTTGCCCACTCAAATGGATTCATTACACGAGCCGAAAAACTCGAATCAATGTCAAATTGTTGAAAAAGTGACGAACATTTCGCTCTCGCTAAAAAGACATGGAAGACGCCATGATGACTAATGCATTATGCATACCGCGCGACGTCACATGATTATTGTGAAGCTTACGATTGGTCAGCTTAGAAATGAATTAATCATACTATTGGGAAGGTTGTTTCATGTGATTGGTCCAAGACAAACCTACATAATCATCACGGCATACCCGCATACCTGAAGCCCGCCCATTTTTTTCCAAAACTGGACGAAAAAGTAAAGAAAGACATTAAACCCGGAAGTTGCAGACCCAACAAGGCGGTCGTTCGACAGGCCACGCGGCGCGTATATCCCCCACACGTACGTACGTACACCCACACGCAGAACATAGTAGGCCTACATTTACTGCCTTATTACACCATGCGTACAGTCCGTACTCACGTGTTTGTGCTTGCTGGTTGTGCACCAAACCGTTCGTACGGACAAGGGTCGGTGGTACGGTACACGCACGGACAAGGGTCGGTGGTACACGCACGTAGCCGCGTTGATTGTGGGTGCAGGGCCCGATTATCTCCCTTCGACAAAAAGCCGAGAGACCGCATTGAACAAGGCTATCCATTGACTGACTCCTCGATATCCTGTGGCGCGCTTTCGTTTGTGTTGAGTCTGCGTGTGCCCCCCATCAGCTGGCCGTCAGTACCCGTACCGTACCCCATGCGGTGCACTTGAATCGAGACACACGTACACACGGCACTCTCTCGGTCATAAACTTCACGATAGGAGGGGCGGCGTCACCAGGATTTTATAATTCCACACTTGGAGACATTTTATGGTCGCGAGCCCATTCGATCGAGAGAAGTTTGGTGCTGGAACTTGGAAGTGGGTAGGGCTGGCTTGTTGATCATCTGGGCTGCAGGTCCTAAGATGTACAGTAAACAAGTGCATGCAGTGTACTACGCGCTGGATGAATGGACGAGTCTGTATGAATAGCGCACAGCTGGGGTCCGCAGTCGTTGTCAACTAAGGGACGCTTTGAGCTGTCAGCCTGGCTGTAGTTTCCAGAGTGTTACTAGCTGCCAAGTATTAATTAGGAGTCAGGATCGGACTCTCTAGCCGCCGCTTGTTTTGGGATGCCAGTTTGCCTCAGATGATGCTGCACATAAAAGCTGCTGCCAACAGTCCCACATTACGATGAGGATTCAAGGCATGCAAGGAAGATCTTCTTAACAAACTTCTGGACCGGCTGAGACTATCGCCAAATAAGTAAACAATGGTGACAATACCTCATCTAATCTCCAGAGGAACTCCCCTGAGAAGGATTGGGAGAAGTGATTCAAGAATGTACTGCAAGCTCACGAACATCTGCATCGTCGTTTGCTTCTTATTGTACTTCTCTGACTCTTGTTGTTCAGAACAAAACCAAATTCAGGTAAAGATTTTACACTTTGTAAATTGTACTTTAGGGCCTATTTTTTAGTACTTGTCATGCTTGTGGGCCTAATATTTAATGTCAAATGTTGTTATTTATATCATCTTTAGTCAAACCAGTTTTGCTTTTTTTTAATATCTTATTTTATAGCAATGTGATTTTAAAAGAAACTTACGAAATTGTCTGTTTTCATAAAATTGAATCAATTTTTATTTCTATTTAAAGTTTACTGACCTTGGCTCAGCAAGTTTTGCTGTTTTGTATTTTATTTGTTTATTTTTGTTTCATTTACATTATTACACATGTTCAATTGTTGACACTAGTATAGCGTTGATTAAACTTGGCTGGTTTGACCTCAATTTTTTTGTGGTGATTCTTTTGAGGCACCATACTGGCAAACTTTCTTTACAGTTTATTATTAAATTCTGCCACGTCTGTGAGAAAATATGTGCCCTAAAACCACACAAGTTAGATCCCCAAGTACCCCCCCCCCAAAAAAAAGCTTGTTTCACATAGTCATTAATGGGTTGTCTCATTCAATTTTCCAAAGTTCTGCCAGTTCAGCCTAATAAACACTGACAGGGTCTCTGGGGTTTTTTGAGGTCAAATAAAGTTTACTCCAGCTCCTGCTATGAAATTCTGTCATCTCTCATTGATCGAGTACTGTTTCCTGTGCCGCAAGTCAAAAAGGGGTTGGGGTCTTAAAATTACACCCATGCAAATTAAGACTTTTCTCCTGAACCTAAGTAAAGTTTGAGACGGGAAAATAATCTATGAGTAAAATTCTTCAAATGTTGTGTCCCTGGGCAATTGGCTCACCATTCACTTGCCTCTCTCCACCCAGGAGTATAAATGGGTACCGACATTATAAGCTGGGGAGTAACATGTGATGGACTAAACATCCCATCCAAAAGGAATAGAGATATTCTCAGTCGTTTTTATGCCAAGGAAACCAGAGACATACACCCGGCCTTTATGGGCAATATTGGCTCGTGACAGACTTAAAACTTTCCTAAAAATAATTTCTCTATGCCAATTTCAGTTTTTGGAAGGTTTGAAAAATTGCTTCAGTGCGCTGTCACTGTATTATTTTCACAATAGCAACAAAGCGCCTGAATGCATAAAAGAGGCTGTAAATAATGGCAAACGGATAAAATGGGGCACTGCGGGGTGTACAGCTCATGAAAAGAACTCAACCCCGGGGTGCTACTGACAAAGTCACAATGGTCGCATTGTCGTGGCCAGCGTTTGAATTACAGGCCTGATGTAACTTCTGCCATTGTTGCCAACCTCTCTCTTTGTGAGCGTTAGACCCTATAGTGCCTCAAGGGTAAGAAAGTGGCATTGACGCGTATCCATTGATCACGCTGTCATCCGTTTTCCCTTTCTCTGGCTAAAACTGGTAACTCAAGGAACCTCAAATTGTACTTAAAACCGTCTCTGCAAGAAAAGAGTGAATTATTTCTGAGTGGCCATTGTGTTTGCGAGGTTCATTTACTCGCTATTCATTTGGGAACATTTTGTTAAATTGTTAGGTTCACTTGTCAGTTTTTTACATCAAGCAATTCATTCTTTCCTCTTTTTTTTAGGAAAATGCCTCAAGCTTTCCAAAGCATCCACACAGCACTCTGCAGCAGTTTCAAGAACACACGACAACTAAAGGTAAAAGTACTTGTAATGTGGGAATGCTGTCAGTTCTATCACGAAGGCCTCCTTCAATGGTGAATGATCTGTCCGGGGGGGGGGGGGGGGGGGGGGGGGGCTGTAGCTTTACAATAGCATGCACAATGGTTTCTCCATTGTTTGTGTACAGTGATGTTGTGCCGGGATTCGTCTATAGGGCCGGCTGGCTCAGTTGGTAGAGCACTGATACAGTAATCTGGAGGTCACAGGTTCCAATCCACTTCACTCCTTGTTCAACTTTATTTCAACCCCGTGCCCTCTCAATTCCTCAACAAAATCCAGCTTTGGAAAGAGTTTGCAGGATCAAGGAAGGTACGCCCTAGGATATAAGGTTGATATTCCAATAATATTTGAGTGGAGTGAAGCCTGCTTGGAGGACTGTTAGCTATTTCAAGACATGTGTATTTAGGGGAACCATGGTACCATTGTCTCTCCCCTCCCCCCCCCCCCCCCCCAAAAAGAAGAAGTTCTAAGAAGAATAGGTGCGTTGCTAAATAGGGTGTATGGAAGTGGGTGTACACTCCCTAAATAAGCCGAGTAAAAAAAAAGACAATTTTTCATGCTGGCTTGTACAAAAAAAATGAAGGTGGCAGCCCCCGCCCTTTTTTCGCCCCAAATTGGTGGATTTTCCAAGATTGCAGGTAAAGTCTTCCATTTTTCCCTGAAAAAAAACCCTGGTTACCTTCTAGCGCAAAGAATCTGCTTGGCCCCACCCCTCAGCAAAATCCTGCATACATGTACACCACATTGGGGGGGGGGGGGGGGGGGGGGTTTGTGTACTTATTTGTATACCAGCCGTGTCCTTTTCAAGTGTGTACATACAGAATCACCTGAAAGCAAATATCCGATAAGGAAACAAGCCTATCCTGCTGGTACATATAGAGCTTCAATCTCCTAGGCCACCTGGTATTGGAACTCAAAACACTAACCGCCGCTCACAACAAGCTCTTGGGAGGATGAGTGGGCCTTCATTATCATATCGAGGGCTTTTAGTGTATGCCTGCTGAACTTGGTAAGAAGGTAAGACGTGTATTTGGAAAGTCGGAAAAACTAGGAGTAAATTTGCAGTATGCTCAGACTTTGCAATACGCATTACCCCAGTGCTGGTTCCTAATGTATCAGAGGACAATAGAATCTACTTAGAATATCTTCGAATTTACCTTCGAAGACTTGACCAAAATGTGTCCATGGAGTGACTTTTTGGGTAAAAATTTTTCTAAAACCAACCTTTCAATTACCGGAAGCACTTTGGAGCTTTTTTTTGGGGGGGGCCTTCATTTTCTTATTTGAAGGGTGTGTACTCAAACAAACACCCTTGAATTGGTGAGTAGGATGACACAAATCAAGACGTGGGAGTAAGTACGATACAAGTGCAAAGTCATAGACCTGGGAGTTCATGTGCAGTTGACCTCCTTTTGTATGACTGGTGTTATCTTCAGTGAAACTGTGAACGTACACATCCGGGCTGTAGACCTGACCTACTTGTACAAGTGCCCTCTCTCATATTATATAATAAAAATGTGTGTTTACAAAGTGCATGTAATCACAACTCTCTCTGGCCTCACAGGTACCCAATTTACTCCTGGGTGGAGAGAAGCAATGAGTGACAAAGTGCCTTGCCTAAGGGCACACGCATCATTACCCCAGGCTGGACTCGAACCCACAACCTGCAGAATTACCCGCAGACCACAAAATCAGTGTTCCAGACCACGAGGCCAAGGCACCAGGAAAATTGAACGCAAGATGAACTCACTTAACAGAGAAAAAAATACCAGAATGTTCATAACGACAGGGTATTTTTGCCTATTTTCCTCCTGACTGAGACACTGACTGACTGACTAACGGATAGACTGACTGACTTATGCACTGAGTATAAATAATGTGCTAAACTGAGGCTTGCACCTTCAGCATGACAAAGGCAAGCCTAGCCTTGTTATTGACATAATGCGTTGCCAAAAACATTATAAAACAAATAAATTATAATATAAGGCGAAATAAAAAAAAAAACATGTTTAGCGTCCTGCCTTTTTGAAAAAAAAGGAAGCGAGAGGCCCTTTTTCCCCTCCAAAATGGCCGCCTGACTGGGGTATTTTTCTAGATGGCCACCAGGTTTTTTTTTAAATGGCCGCCATTGGACTCAGGAAATGACATAACAGTTTTATATGGGTTAGATGCAACAGAAAAAAAAGGCCAAAATGAAGTCACTGTTGAAAATTTATCATTTTTTCGGTTTAAACAAAACACGATAAACATGTTTTAACCACCACCTTGCCATCAGCACAACACTTGCAGTTTTGTGCTTTAATTGAAACGCAATGTTTTAACCCTATTAAACTCCCTACGTAATGTTACTAAGTACCGATAGAAGACCATGTATGTCAAAATCCATCACTTACTCTACTTCACATAATGCTTCAGGACAAAATCCGTTGTAATCCACCACTGGTCCTGGTGGATTTTGATGGACTTGGTACACATGGTGTAATACAGTATCTACCCAAATCTTCCAAATGGGGGGGGGGGGTGGATTTTGATGGAGTTGGCTAGGTTAAGGTTGTATCATCTTTCCCAAGGGGGCGTGCCAGATCTCCCTTGAAATGCACAGGAAATAAAACTACGTGTACACACTAAATATTTGGAGCTTCCCCTGAATTTAGTGCTTTGAATTTTCAGTATCAAAGTTGTGTATTTATTTATTAATTTCGTCCAAGAATGGAAGAACTACTGATTATAGATATGGAATAAAAATAAATGAAGCATGAACTCTATGACAATTTAAAAACCAAAATGTGTTTTAACAAAACAAAGATAACATAACCAGAACAATTCCCCGCCTGCCAATTACAGGAATGGAATTGATATAAAAAAATACATAATTATATTAGCATAAACAATTAACGCTAGAAAAATGTAGGAACCACAATATGTAGACCTACCTCTTGGAGAGATTTAAAGATAAATAACGTCAGAATACTTGTACCAATTTGTCCAGTTGAGATAACAATATTGCTGACAAGTTAACCAGCCCATTTTTCTAAAGTCTTTTGGAACAGTCACCGTGGTAAATGTAACTTGCTAAGCAGCATGGGGGGGGGGGGGGGGGGGGGACAGTCAAAGAATCAACAAGATTTACAAGGCAGATCTGTAAATAGCAAGGGAAAAATGGCGTACGCACAGTAACATGGATGTTGTGTAATGTGAAATCTCAGCTATTTATAAAGCTGATTTCAGCTTTTTTCAGCTTTTTCCCTCACTTGGGGTGTACAAAAGTATAGGAGAATCCAAAGTTCAGCTTTTTTTACACCTTTTCCAGCTATTTTTATCAGTGGTTACTCACACCCCTGGTAATATGCATACATAGGTTCTTGTACATGTTTGATGTCAGTGTAGACTTCAATCAGATCAGACAGTGTTTGGAGTCAGAACGATCATGTTTGTTCGTGTCTGTGTGTTTTTGTTTTGTTTTGTATTTGGACTCTTTCTTCTGGTGGTAAGCACGCTTTGGACTGCTGCTGAGATCCTTATGAGACATTGACCTCAAAGCTGGTGATATGAAACAGACATGTTTAAAGGACATAAACACCCATAATTCTAATGGATAGTATTTAGTGTACAGTTTGAGAATGTCTTATGAGGTGTATATTGCAATTCTAAACATTTTATTTTTGGCGACAACTCAAGGGCATTTCATACAACGAAAAGCTCCGTTGACCTACTTTTACCGCCTTTCCGTGCAATACGTTTTGTACGTGTTCACAGGGCAGGCATGTTCATTTCTCTTCGTGAAATCGCAAAATGCAATTATCGAGATGACTGCCCCTGACGTCATTAATGTTCAGGAATTAATGATGTTTTGCTTACGGAAACATGTCAGAATGCTTAAGTACCATGTTTTAAAGCAAAATAGTGAAAAAAGTTGAAATTGAAAAGATTGTCAATTTTGACATGCCCGTCTCTTCGTGAAAACGGTGACGAAATGTTCAAATATTTGATGAAATCCAAGATCCAATAATCAATATCGAGTTCTTCAAAAACGCACAGCATAATGACCCTTCATGTAGTCGATTTAAGTGTTTAAATATTTTTTGATGTATTTGATATCAGGTTTTTATTTTTTATTATTTACTGCTTCAGGTCTTGAATTTGACTAGACTAATCAGATTGTTACTTTAATTTTTTTTCTTCTTTTTTTAGGTTATGAGATAGTACTCCCTTACCAGGCAGATCCTGATGGATTATTCGTGTCGCACAGTCTGCATCCTGTCAGAAGAAGGCGGAGCTCCGACAACATTCTATCCACGCCGGCCGCTGTCCACTACAAATTCAGCGGCTACGGCCAGGACTTTCATCTCGAACTCTCCGCTAACGAGGCACTGCTAGCGCCAGGATTCACGGTCCAGTGGCGCAAAAACGGCAGCGTGAAACCGCAGGAATATATCCCCGAGATTGACAACTGTCACTACGCGGGGACATTGAGGTCTCACCCCGATTCTACTGTCGCCGTCAGTCTGTGTGATGGTTTGGTAAGTTTTTGACAAATGTGATAGATAAGGAGGGATGTTTGAAATTCTTTCAGAAGAAGCTTTGCCTTATGAGATGTTACTTCAAGTACCAAGAATTCTCCAAGTGATTTACAATAAAAAATATTTTTGGAGCCACACACAGTTCATCGGGGAAATACATGGAGTCAACATCATAGACAGTGCCAAACAGAATTCATGTTACACTAGGTGACAAGACCTTGGTTTTTCTGATATATTTTGCTGCTGTGTGTATGTGTAAGGATTATTTAAAATAACAATAATTATTCTGAATCACCTTCAGGCTTCTGAATGGGAACTATGTGTTGTTATCAATGGCTGATCTATTTAGGGGGGGGGGGGAGGGGGGGGAGGTGGTCTAACCCCCTTGGTCTGTAAAAATAAAGGAAAATCATACCGAAAAAAAGTAGCAAATGCCTGTTGAACCCCACCTTGACAGCTAACCCCACCACCCCTTCCCCCTTTTACCAAACGTGGATTTGCCCCAGGTTACTACACGTAAATATTAAATGAAGATAACTGTAGGATAATGTATGGACTATGGAGGATATTAGCATTATAATTTTATCAGAGTTTAGGTTTTTTTCCAACTTGGATTCATTTTTAAACCATTGGAAAGTCCTTTCAGTTGGAACGGTCACGGTACAGTGTACCGCATAATAGACTGTGGCAATAAGCAGGCATTAACAGTGGGCGGAAGTGTTCCCTTGTGTTTCCATGTGGAATAAATTGGTGAGCAGCAGGGGTGTGGTGTGGGGTCCACTAATTAAGTCTCAAGTGGCACAGCGACAAGAAAAAAAACCTGGCAAGCCTCATCAAGCTGGTCCCAGAAAAGTCGTCGCAAGGAACAACATTCTTTTCAATTGATTTAGAATGGCTATGCACTGGAAGTCTTGTCATGCGAAGCTGATCTGGTCTACACAATGAGCTGAATTTAGTACATTCAATGGCAATACGGGGTACTCCAGTATTGATAGCACTAGCCAGAGAAACAGAAACAAAACTTATAAAAGGACCTACCGATACAATACCAAGCAAACATCACATCTCCAGCCAACCCCACTGACCCGACACCGCCCCACCCCATCCGACACCATCCCACCCCACCCCAAAATTGCCTACACCAGCCAAATCACAATTTATAAACTGTCAATTTTTCTCTGCAGTACAGTGTTTGAAGAAATGAAAGGTCCCTGCTTGATCTGCACTGGTCTTAAGAAATTTGGGATTCAGTCGGACCCGAAAGTTGCTGTATTTTGCAATGAAGTGGAGGAATCATTTTTCAAAATGGCGATGGGCTCTATATAGGACTTTGGAGGGAAACATCACCCCAAAGTCATTGATTAACCCCAAAATATTGAACAGAAAGTGAAAGAGTGTGAACCAAGCTTCAATTTGATGTATGTCTCGAGCGCCTGTGAGAATTGTGGGTATTTTTGCCGAGTTTTTGAAGTGGGGGAATTTATGATTGGTGCCTTTTGGAATTTAGTTACTGGTTTGCACCCCTTACCATTGCTCCCACCCAACCTTACAACGTTTCTACAGGTTATTGACCTCAATCAATGGCCTACAGCCGGCCCTGGCTTACTCCTAGTACTTTCAGTTCTTTATTGGTCAGTGGATTAACTGTGTGGACCATGACCACTGGTGTTGACCAGGACAGTATTAACGAGGACCATTGAGGAATCGATTGGAACCTTTGTATCCCTGCAACCCAAGCATAAAATAGAACAGGCAGAGCAAGAAAGTAGAACAAACCCCCATCACAACTTGACAAGTGAAACCAACCTTGCCAAAATATTAGGGGATGATGTTATTGGGTTTATGTAAATCAAAACAGTAATGCTGTCTGCTTGTTCAGTTTTTTTTGTAAACAGGCATGTTTGTCTGTCTGAGTTGTAGACGTTTGGCTGTCCAAAACCATGTACAATGTAGGTTAACACTAAAACAGTTTGAATTGATGAGAATATGTGCAGTATCATACCATATGAAATGAGAGCTGTGGTGAAGAAAGAAGAGCTATGGTGTAGAAAGAAATGCATTATAAATATGACATAATATGAAATAATGTGACCAGTTTAATCATGAAGGAATTGTTGAATGCATCAGACGCTGGTTTTCCTCTATTTCATATCCGCATAAATGAGCTCCATTTGTTGGTATTTGTATTAAAGGGAATGTACATCATTGGCTTTTGCTGTAATTTTCAGAATTGAACTATTTGAGGGGTTAATATAATAGGCCTAGATCAAATATTGTTTAACTGACATGTTTTGAAGTTTTGTGTTTCGAAAATGCTTGAAAAACCAAGAAAAACAAAAAATGTTTAAGTAGTCTGGTTCCCTGACTCCACTAAAGATAAAATGGATCAATTTATAGTTGTCGGAAAATTGTAAGGTGAGGGAACCAGTCTAGCTGGCCTGCACCCGTTCATGAACATGTAACCAATAGCAAACAAAATTTGGACTGAAAATTGTAAATTTGGAGCAGAAGTTGAAAAATAGTTAGGTTTTTCCAACGGTGGTCGGCCGACCACCGTTGGAAATGTATACAAAAATACAAGTTTCTAGAAAATGACTTGACACCAGGTGCCATAATTTTACAGGATGCCTTAGACTGTCATTTACCAACATCCTAGTAAGGTATTTTGTACAAACTTGGTAGTTTTATATTTCGATGTTTGCAAATGTTGTATATTCCCTTTAAGGCAAAAACCATACCAGCCCTCCCCCTCCCCCACCCCCAAAGGAAAAAAACGAAGCCAGCATTATGTTATTCCAAATGTGACAAAATTGCAACCACGTGAATTAATTATCCTGATGCGTGAGCATGACCAGCATCACAGGTGAATGTTGTAGGCCTATATCTCAATCCTGGAGACACTTTGGAGGACTAGAAAGATCTTTAAAAAAAGTATCTTTTTTTGTCATGTGTACGGCATTATTTTGGACAAGATACTGGCTTGGTATAATACGCTGAAGATACAAGATAAGAAAGCTACCTACAGCACAGCTTTCAATCATCGGATCAATGCGGACATCCTCTCAGTGAACAAAGCAAACAAAGCGGACCCCCTTCTCTTGTCAGATCTAGCAGGGGGTGGGTGGTGAAGAGAACCCTTGTCTAAGCTCCCCTCTCATCAATCCCACAACAATAAGAAGTGGTTGAATAGAGAGGAAGCTAAGAGTTAGACCCAGGCCATTCAGCCGCGCAAATCCCCAGTCCTTGCTTACATGTGTTCTTCCATGATCAATTATTTAAGGTAATTCAGTACGAATCGCACAATGCCTCCCGCTGGTTTGGACGCAGTAATTCAATCTAACGCTGTGTTTCCACCAAGTTCTCTCCTTATTTCCCTGGGTGGGAACGAAAAAAATATCACCCCAACAAACAAACAAACGCGGGAACAATTACTTTCCTGCCACAATACATGTACCTGACAGAAAACATTTCCAGTGCAGTGAACATAGAGTGTTTTTGCCCATATGTCATGTGGCAGTCAAACTGACATGTTAACCAACAAATTTTAAGACATATTTTTTTATTAGCTGTTTCGGAGTTCTTGCTTCGAAACAGCTCTTGGTTATTTTCTTCATTTTTCTCAGTTCGTTTTGGCTCCTCTTATTGTTTTATTACTTAAACAATAAAATATAATTTAAACAATTGTTGTTTGAATGAAAACAGTTGGTTACCTCTGTTCATATTTGAATATATATGTCAGACTAGTAAAATGCCAATGATTAGAAATATTAATATAAAAATATATAGAAGAAGTTGCATCTTGTTTTTTTTTCTAATTTAATATTTATAGTATAGATTCCCTGGTCGACTTTCCAACTTGTGCATGGATTTATTCTATACCCAATCCCAATCAATGTAAAAGTTGGAAAGTCGACCAGTAAACAAGTTTCAGTGTGAAATTGAAATGCCAGTCTAGTGATGGCCATGAGTTAAAAGCCTCCTGATGAGGCATAAAAATGAACCATATGATAAATTAACTTTTGCAGTGTAGTAGAATGTAAATTTAATGCTGCAGTTTATTAGAATAAAAATAAATTGATGTGGTAGCCTTCAAAGTAAGGAGACTTTTAAAAGTATTTGTTGGCTTAGAGAGAAGCTGAGCACAAAATACTTCAGCATGAAGGCTACTCTGTTATTTTCATCTTAATATTCCTTCATTGATCCTGTGAAATACATCTTTGTCTATAGGAGTTTTCTTTGGATACTTTCTGAGATTTTTATCCTGAAATGGAAGTCCTGGTAGTGCTGGGATTAAAATCCGGATTTTGCAAAATTTGGTTTGAATTCCACTGTTCGGTTTGGATTTTGCAAACTTTTTGGACTTTATCAAAATGAAGCCTTCCATTTTTGTGTGACACAAGCTAAAGAAGACAACTGGAACATCCCCCAATTTGCTCCATTGTTTCTGATTGTAACTGCATTCTTCCATATAGTGATCTTCTTGGTTCATGAAAAGCTTGCCCATTTGACTGATCAGAGAGTTCCCATCACATTTTTTCAACATTACAGCTCTGGAGTGTTTTTGTAAAGGCCCAGTGGTCATTCCATCCTGCAAAATATACCCAATCATCGGTGGAGGGCATTCCATGCAGCACCGATCACTCGTCACTTTTGTTGGCATGACTCTGAGCTGAATAGGAATTTCTGGTGAAATCGGATAACTGTTACTCAGTTTGAAATAAAATAAGATAACCGAATTTTGAAACCTTTGATTTTTCCCACCACTATCGGTACGGTATGTCCTACATGTACCGATGTAGATTGGCAAATCTTCCAAAAAAGTACTATTTTTGTCTTCATTAGTGTACAGTACTGGGCATGTCTGACTATGTGACCATGATCAGTTCAGATGTAGGGCAAATGTCTATGCAAGTTCAGATGCAGTCTATATCGATGATCTCAGATGGTATAGACCGTGCTTAATCTTCATAGAATGTCAGCTGCTTTCCATTGCGAGAAGAAGCAGCACTTGACGCACATGAAAAATATATCAACACGAAATATGTTTGTAACGCCGGTAAAATTCCAAATGTCAAAACTGCTGATGTGGCTCTGAATGGTTTAGAAATTATGGGAGTAAGTTGCAGAGTACCGGTATGTGTTAGATAATCATGTGTACATGTGTATGCTGTATCGTTTTGAAACAGCTTAAGACGCGTTGAATGATTTAAGTGAGCACTCTAGCTACTAAATGCGCAAATTTTATTATAAAGTTAGGGACTGCTGAAACATCCCTTCTGGCAAGTTTGGCTGATTGTAAAGTCACCAGACCATGAAGACTTTTCAAGATGCAACATGAATGGTTAAAAAAAAACATACGGGTACCAGTAACAGGTTCATGAGCATGTTCATGGACACTGGGGCCAGTGGGGGTAGTAAATGTACTACATTTATATGATTTCTGAGGGTACCGGTACATGCACTGTTCATTACTCAGAGTGGAATTTTAATGGAATTTTGCAAAGGCTTTCGAAAGGAATAAAACTGCTGCAAACTGCAAACTGACTGGATTGACCTAAAATCAAAAAGAGGTAGACGACCTGATGTTTCAACACTAGCACTACGTGTGGCATGCAGTGCTTTCTCAACCTGTATAGGTGAACAACATAGGTGACCAAGCGAATGTACCGGTACATGTTGCTCTTTGATTTACACCGAAATCACTGAGACCTTTTGTCGTGGCCTTTGTGGGAGCTACATGTAGGGTCCCATAATATATGACATGATGTCAGAGGGAAGCCAATTTCCGCTTGTCACTCACTCACAAAAAGAGTTCACACATCGCGGTTGTTTGCCAAGGTGCCAATAAGCGCTGTTTGATTTTTGCCGACTTCTGTGATGAGTTGTGTCGTCACTGTTGTGCCCCACAGTGTGATTTAAAGTCTCAATGTGCCCAAGATGAAGCAACTCTGCTTGGCAACAACTGCCAGTCGACATTCAGAAAAGTATTTTTATCAGTTTATTGAGGTTTTCAAGTTGGCAAACTTGGCATATCCCTGCATAGAAAAATACCCCTCCCCCTCCAAAAAAAAAGAAAAAATCTAAGAAATTCTGGTCATCCAAATTATATATTTGTTTTTGTTTTGTGTCATATGTAAAGAAGATGGTTGTCTCCATGTTACATACTGAACAGTATGATTTGAGTTTGATAATGGAAAGCTTATTACTTTATCTAGTATTTGAAGAAAAAAAATCAATTTAATCTAAACATTTCAGGATGAGTTGGGTTCTTGAAATCTCCGTGTTCCAGGTCCAACAGAAATTTTGGGAACCCCTTGACCTTTCACACTAGTAGCAGGAATCCTATGCAGGCCCGTCGCCAGGGGGGGGGGGGGGAGGGGGGGGGGGGGAAGAGGGGTACTGGTGGGGCCGGGCCCCCCTTGGCGAGCAATTGGCCCCCCCCCCTCCCACAGCAAAAGCCATATTTTTATGGTAGTGGGCCCCCCTAGTTGGTACTATGGCCCCCCCCCCCTTGATGCTCAGGGCTGGCGACCTGATCCTATGGCTTAGGCATGGGTCTGGTACCGTACTCTACACAGGTACCGGTACTGGTAAAATCCAACCTTGGTCAGTTGTTGAGAGGCTCTACCCAGGTAGAAAATCCAAACTCTACAGCTGATTTGTGTACCGTGCTTGATTGGACGCCGTTCTGCTCGCAGCGGAATCGCATCGAATGGAACCAGTGGAACCGTGTTGATAAGGCCTATTGTTTTCCATCTTGTTTCTTCAGGCTATCCAAACTACAATGACTGTAGACTTTATAAAAACAAAATGAGAAATTTGTAAGTAATTTGCAATTTTATTATCTTGCAATTTTATTATCTTCCAGACTGGCCTAGTCCGGACAACAACAGATGATTTTCTGATAGAGCCTCTCTCGGATCAGCTTGCTGCACAACACAACCTGTCTCTAAAGACAGGCCAGAAGCCGCACATGTTGTACAAGCGATCCGTCCATAAAGAGCCCTCAGAGAGACACGCCTCGGGGAGACACGAAGGAAGGAATCACACCAAACAGCACTTCTGTGGCTCCAAGAAGAAATGTAAGTCAATTGTAATGGCCGTTTTATACTTTACAAATGTGAATGCGAAGTCACAAAACAATTGCTGCAAAATTCACCAGAGTTGATGTGTTCAACTTTTACAAATTCGTAGCGCGAATACTTGCTGGGAACTCACATATTCGCATTCGCGTTGGCTTTCATGCTATGAAATCATGAACCAGCCTTAACACTGATGAACAAAAGTTTATTTCTCTGAAAGTAGTCATTTCCAGAGTTTTTTTTTTAGGCCTCCTCCAAATTGCTACTACAGCTTTCGATTTCACATGCGCCATTGCCTGTGAAAGTTTCTGCAACCGCTTTAAGTGTCACTGCTGGCCCTGGCCAAATAATTTTGGTTGTACTGGTAGCATGGAGCTATGAAAAGCTTTTTATAGCTCCAGCCTCAGTCAGGTCCTCACACAGACTATCACAGGTCAATCAAAAGTCAATCACATGTAAAAGTCATCTATTTTTAAGTCAAGTTATAAAACTTGTGACTTGAGTTGACTTGTTGACTTGTGATTGACTCAACAACGACTCTGAATGTTACGCACATGATTCTTTAACCACATGAACCAATTTTTCACATGATTTGATCAAATTTGAATTTGATTGAACTATTTGTTTAATAATTTTATTACCAGTTGGAGTACTTCACGTGTACAAGCGCACTTTATAGTGGAGCATGTTCAATGAACAGAATTATTGACACTTCACTTAAAACAAAATTTCTGGGGAAAATCCCAACAAAACAACATTGAGGTAAAAGCAGGCATAAGTTTCACTTCAATGAACTACATTGTAGTTTTAAGCGAAACGTTTTTTTAAACAAAATATTCAAAACTTCTTTAAATATTATCAAATACGGGTTCTATAATTTACTGAGCTTTAAGCTTTTAAAGCATGCAGGGCCTGTTTTTTCCCTACAGAGGTACAAATGCGTGTACCGTATGTATGAACCACATTTAGCATGGGGATGTTGTGTGCATGGCGTATTTTGTACCCAAACCAATGAAGCTTTTGTGTGGGTACTCCAGAGTCAATATGTCATGTGTGTGGGCTTTTTTTTCCAATAAAAACCTCAACAGATCGGATGTGCGGCACATCATAAATCAAGGGGGGGGGGAGACCCTACAACCACCAATTCGTCACTGTTACAATCATTGTTCCCATAGTCTGGGTAGAATACAGGGCCAGACAATAAGCCATTTCTTGCCCAACACCCTGCATCAAGGTACCCAGACAAAAGCCGAATTTGCTACAATAGCCAACAACCTCCGGCTAAAAAGGCACCATCCTGTGTTTTCCCTCTTTTTTTCTTCTTTTGACGAGATCCTGGGATCTCCTACTAGGTTTAATTCCTGACTGTGTACATAGGTAAATGGATAGCATTGGAGCATGTAATAGTGTGTGGCGGGATTTATTATTTAAGAAAACCTACAGGCGTAAAATGTAACAGTGTAATAAAAGCTACTGGAACTGTTCAGTGACCTGTCGGGCTCTGCAAGCACAATGTGCATTACACATGTTACAGGCCAACAAGCCAGACGACTTGTTTGAAGTTTGTCACTAGTTTAAAGCACAGTTGCATGCAATTCAGCCCATACCATGACTTATGATTATTTTGCATTGAGAACATACATCATTTTGTAAATTTTAAGAACTTAATTTTTTTTATGATGATTTCATTTAAATTCTTTTACACTAGTTTCTGCTATACATTATGAATTTGTTTCTTCACTGTACTGCTTCTAGTTCTGTCTGAAGGCTTTTACGAAAGGTCAAGAAAAGTCAGAATCTTTCATAAACATAAATATGGTGTTGTCAAACCGCTAGTCCACCGAGTTTGCCAGGTGAAGGGAGAAACCCTACATTGAAATTCACTTCAGCCTAAGCAAAACCAGAACTAAAACTAAAACTAAACTTAACTAGAGCAAAATCAAACCAAGGATGAGATACCATGAGTCCCTTTGGGCCAAGTTTCTGTTCGGGACTTCGCTAGTAACCCCCCCCCCCCCCCCTGCCCTGCAAACAGGGCGCTGGGAAGGACTCCGCTTCACAGAATCTTGTGAAAGAAGTACGGATGGCATTCTGGGTAACTTATCACGACCTTCGCATGCCCCTAGCGTGCAAGTACGTATGATAAACAGCTGTAGCGAGTTTGTGCGCTGCATTCTACGTCACAGGTCACGTAAAATCTATCCAATGAGAGCTCAAAGAGATCAGCCCTTCCCAGCGTCCTGTTTGCAGGGCAGGGGGTGCGAAGTTCAGGACCAGTTCACTAAGTCCAAATACCCGTATACGACACTAGTTGTTGCCATTTCTTGTCCTACACGCAGCGTGTACACTATAAGATAGGATATACCCACACCTACATGTAGTAGGTCTGTAGACACCTGTCCATCCCCTGCTGACACAGCTGAACATAGTTTTAAAGTTCCCAGCGAGAGTGTTAAAAATAAATTGGTCTACAAATGATGCCACTACACAAACTAGTGTCCAGTGCAATGCATATTATGCACAAGTGTGCAACTTTCTATAAATTTGGAGTCCCTTTTGTCCCTGTTACATCTAACATCTATAATTTTATAATTCTGATGCACTCCTTAAATGCAGTCGTCCTCCAAGAGTTATTATCAATTGCAAACTATCTACTCAACAAATAAAAAAAGGTTTGAAGTCATTCTTTAATGATACTTGAAACCAAGGTGACAGGGACAGGCAAGATGTCACACTTTGGACACTAAATTTATAAAATACCAAGTATTGACACAATATGTCTACACCTGTCTGTCGGTTTTCCCTGACTCCTTCCAAGCCCCTACCCCATCCAAGCCCCTACCCCTTCCATTCCCCTACCCCATCCAAGCCCCCTACTCCTTCCAAGCCCCCTACCCCTTCCAATCCCCTACCCCTTCCAAGCCTACCCCTTCCAAGCCTACCCTTCTAAGCCCCTACCCCTTCCAAGCCCCCTACCCCTTCCAAGCCCCTACCCCTTCCAAGCCCCCTACCCCTTCCAAACCCCTACCCCTTCCAAGCCCCTACCCCTTCCAAGCCCCTACCATATGGAAAAGTTTCATGGCTAAAGTCTCAAAAAATCAGTTGTGTGTCTATGTGACCTTCGGGACACGCTACGCGTGTACTGAATGGGTCAATGCCCAATCATGCATCATGCATAACTCCTATGTATAGCAAGTATGCGTGTGGCCAGTACCGAAGAGTCCATTGTGACAAATGGGTAAACCGCAACGCGTAACTCCAATAAACAACAGGTGTTTTTACACAGGCCTACACAATGGAAACATCATCTTTCTCTATGGCAAAATACAGGACATAGTTAAAAACACAACAATGAAAATAAAGCAACCTGAAAGAAGATCTCACAAGAATTTTAGCCATACGAAAATCCCAAATAAGTTACGGGCACTGCTGGGCTTGCAATCATGCACTTGAATTGACCACGCTGCGCACGTGCCGAATGGTATTCCCTATATAGTAATGGTACGGACCACCTTCACTGCACTTAACTTCTTCGAATTCGAATTCCTTCACTTTCCTGTGGAAAAACCGTATAAGTTCATGTAGGATGAAAACTGCATGTGGCAAAAACATAGTAAGTGCCAATTTCATTTCATATATTACATATTTTTTCCGTTTAGAGCGCATAAAATACAGCAAATCCAGTCACATCCACCGCGCGGCTAGCTGGAAGCTACTCAGTGGACATGACGTCACGCGAATGTTATGCTAATCCCAGCGCTAGGTCACGACGAATACCATTGGATAGCAGAATGATGGGGTTCAAGTTTTCTTTCATTCCGACGACATTTCTTAGCCAATCAAAACGAGTTTTACATATGATATGGGGAGGAAACTAACGCAGAGAATGCCGGAAAACCCGCTGTCATTGCGTAATGCATTGCCGAGTTACTGCTTTGCAAACTCGCCCCATCTGATGCGTGAGGGTAAAACTGCGTGTGATTACACTGAAAAAGGACGCTCTGGTCCCTCGTAAAAGCGATTTTAGAAAGCTGGTCCGACGACATTGAATGCTCTATTCGAGTGAAATTTTGGAATTTCGTAGGAAAATATATAAAGATTGGAATGCTGGGCGACCCCGGATTATATGTTTTTTCGTTTGACCACTAAAACCATTTTTTCACCGGTGGACCGGATTCGGAGCGACTGCGGCTAACCCGTTTTGTGCGTAACACGGAAACACGTCCATATCGGTGTAGCAAAAGAGACTACTTTTCCATATATATGCCCTTCCAAGCCCCTACCCCTTCTAAGCCCCCTACCCCTTCCAAGCCCCCTACCCCTTCCAATCCCCTACCCCTTCCAAGCCTACCCCTTCCAAGCCCCTACCCCTTCTAAGCCCCCTACCCCTTCCAAGCCCTTACCCCTTCCAAGCCCCTACCCTTCCAAGCCCCCTACCCCTTCCAACCCCTTCCTCTGGCTGCTCCCCATCAGACATTTGATAATTCAAGCATTTTTCTCTCACTCCTGGTGCAAAAAGGTGATTTTTATTCTCTGAATTTAATTTTCCGACAGTCCGAATCAGAGTCTTAAAATAGCCAGGGGAATGCATCTTTCAACAAGCAGTTGAAAATTTTACCCCAGCGTACCCAAACAGTCAAAGTCATCATAATCCAAAAACCCATTTCCACACCCCATTACCCATAGCACGTAGTCCTGAGACAAGACATTATCCCACCCTCCTAGCACCCAGGAGTATTACAAAAAATTAGCGTGACGAAAATCCAACCCTCAGGATTTGTTTGTTCTATGTAACTACTGTGACCAAATCTTTGGACTTAAAACCTTTGGCAGCCCAGGGGTGGGAGGGGTGGGGATGACAATTGACAGGTGGTAGTTGCAAGGTGATAAAGAGGGGACACTGGGGTGGGGGAGGTTTCTTGCAAATGAAAGGATCAATTCATGCCAGCAGTTTTGGGCAGAATTTTTGGTTGGTGATGCATTGAGTGTGGTTTTTTGGA